TTAAGATGTATGCAAACTGGCATCAATGATATGTAAAGCCATGATCCAAAGTTTTATACATTGAACTTCCGATATAACAACTAAACATCACATGAGCGTCCATTATTTACTGAGAAACTTACCAGGATCCTTCTCTGATGGCTTCAGAACAAAGGTATTACCACATGTCACAACAACGGGAAACATTTGCACTAACAAACACAAAATAAGTACTCAAGATTTCACAGAGGAGAAAAAATAAGTATTACGGATATACATATGTAATACATGTTGAACGTAAACGAAGCCATATAACGTTAAATACATGTTACCATATTTTTGTGTATAAGCTCTTGAAACTTCAGCATAACGCGCTGCCGAGTAGTAATCAGTGTATTTATTTGTCCATGAAGGAAACGCTTGCTTCACAGCCGATACTGGCGCCTTAAACTCATCGCTTGTTGTTAATGGAACTTGAGAAACAACCTCTTGCGTTCCCTATAGCAAAAAAACAAAATCAATTTGTAATAAAACCATCTCAAATTCGAAAATATGATATGAACAAAGGAAAAATAACTTAATTAAGAAAATGAAACGTAAATGTAGAAAATGAAAAGTAACTTAATGTAGGAAATGAAAAGTCTCAATTCTCAATTCTAGACCGTCGGATTATGTCTATTGGTTTTTAATCCAATGGTGGTGATCCAATTTGATTGAAAGAGACTCATCGTCTCTCAACCAGATTCTTTCTCTCTTCTCCCTCGAACCCTTCTCTACGAAACCACAAAAATCGACCCAGAGACCAGATCCTCATCCGACTCCGTTGGCGATTAAAACAGAGACGGTGGGAGTCTGGATGACCTGCATGATGACCGCATGACAGCGAGCAAATCGCTATCCCCTGAATCACTATCATGATCGCAGTCTTCCCTTTGTTCTTGCCCTTGTTTAGACAATCACGCCTCCAGTGACCTTTGCCACCGTAGCCAAAACAGATGGTCTTTGCTCGGTTCTTCGACTTTGACCTAGCACCACCACCTCCATCTTGTTTGTTCATCTGCCTTCCTCTCTCCTGATTGTTCGCAAACAATCCATCACCATGAGAACCTTCTGCTCCCGTCTTCTGTTTTCGCTCATAATGAGATTGGAGCGAAACAGCCACCGTCTCCCAGGATATCGTCTCCTTGTTGCACGTAAGTGCTGTTAGTAGAGTCTCATACGAAGGAGGCAATGAACACAACAAGATCATGGCTTTATCTTCGTCCTCAACCTTCACGCACACACGAGCCAAGTCACCGACTATCTGATTGAAACCGTGTACATGCTGCATCAGATCCGATCCTTCTGACATCTTCAGCCCATACAGACTCTGCTTCAGATATAGCTTGCTCGACAGCGACTTCGACATATACAGATTCTCCAGTTTCTCCCAGATCTCCTTACAGGTTGTGAGATCCTCCACCTGAAGCATCACATCTTCTAATAAACACAAACGAATAGTCGAAATCGCCTGCTCTTGCATATCTGTCCATTCGTCATCATCAATCAGCACTGGTTGCTCTTTCTCTAACGCTCTTCTGATCTTCTGTTGTGTTAGAAGATCCTTTATTCGCCCTTGCTAAAGACCGAAATTTCCCTTCCCATCGAATCGTGGAATCTCGAACTTAAGGGAATCACCAAGGCTCTGATACCAGTTGTTGAGATATCAATCAAGTCCCACATCGGAAGTATAGTCAATAAGTGTTTATGATATAAGCAGTGTCCAACTCCAACTAGTATGAGACCTTTTGGGAGGAGACCAAAGAGAAATCCGTGCGGACTTTGCCACTTGAGCTCAAAGCGGACAATATCATATTAGTGGGGGAGTTGGACTGGGCTTATGAAGCCCAGCAAAGCAGGATTACCAAATTGCGGGTATCAAGTTTTTACGATTGTTGTTTGTGTAAAACCATATAATATTTGATTAGTTAAGATGTTATTAGGCCAATATGTCTTGTTTTCAGTGTACTAGTGAATTAAAAATAATATAAAAAATATTTCATATAGCGTCGTTTGATTAAATGACATTAAAAGCTAATGTAAGTGACGTTAATTTATTGACGCCAAAGTAAACGTCGGTTGTGCAAACGATGTAAAATAATTTTGCGTCAGAGGATATTACGACGGTTTGATAAGTGACTCTAAGTTTTTTGAGTTGGTGAAAAACCGACGTTAAGTCCAAATATAAATGACGTTAACTGCCGTATATTTTGTAGTGAAAAACAACTAGGCCCTAATTGGTAACAACAGATGTATGGAATGTTGAAGAATTCTACTGAAAAAAATTATTCTGTTACCAGTTACATAATTGTGGAATTGTGGAATGTTCACAAGAAGATAAAAGTCACAGTTTTCTTTCTTTTTCTTTTACATGATTATAAATTTTATTAATGAATTGATCATAGAAAAATATTCTAATTCTAAAATGTATATTTTTCTTTGATTAATAAATCATTATGAATCTAAATTATTATATATATATATATATATATGTTTTTAAAAATAATTTATTTTCTTCACATATTTTTGATTTTTTTTGGAAATTAACAATTTAGAGGTGTAGTTTTGAAAATAGACAACCCAAAATGTGTATTTTTGAAATTTTCCAAATTTTATTGAATTATTTCACAGTTATATGTTTTACTTTTTTATTTAATTTAACTGGGTATATAATTTTTTATTGTGTTAATAAATAATTTATTAGATATTTATTTTGTATTAGCATTCATGTGTTATCATTCATATTATTATAATCAGCCAAATTTCGCAACAAATATTCATTTAATTCAGCTAGATTCCGTATTCAGCAATATTCATCGGGTACCATATATACCTAATTTTCGAACTGATTTGCATACCATTAGATAAAGAAAAAAAGTGATAGAAAGAAAATGGCTTTTAAATCTAATAGTAATGTGACGATGGTGCACACACTTGTGGGTTTTATGCCGAGTCGGCCTTGAGGCCAAGCAAAGTAAGTAAGCGTTTGCGACCCATTTGAGAATTAGTAAAATATCAGTCGTATTTTTGACAAAATTATCATGTAGCTGAGTTGGTTATGTGTGAGCGAGCTTGTTCAAATCTCCCTCAAATCCGATTTTGTTTTTAAAACATTTTCTTCAATTTACTGTCCTATTAATTATTTTAGTGTGCGGCCCATGCCAGCCCAAAGATGGCTTTGGTTTTCTGATTGGTCGGAAGTCAATTATGGGATGTTGAATTGAGAAGATCCTTCCAACTTTTCAAGAAACTCAAGTTGCCCAACTCTCTCGTGAGTTCCATATTAAGATGTAAGAAGACGATTAATCATGCTTTAAATCCGTTTTGGTTTCTATTTAAATCAGTATAATTGTTGAACCTTGCGTGAAGAAGTAAGAAGCGCCGATCACCCGTAATGTATAAATATGTAGTTGCAAATATTAGGAAGAAAAAGAAAGTAGAGACACAAGCTGTTGCGGCTGAAGGACAACAGTGGTGAATACAAATAATCAGCAATTACGCATGTTCTTTCAAATTGAAATGTTATGTTTTTTTTTTCAACAAATAATTGAAGTAATATGTTATGTTGCTTGAATTTCAATAGGCTGATGATATTTGTTATTAAAAAAAGAGGCAGCTAATATAATGAGAGTTTAGGAATCTCAAAGAGTATTGCTTAAGTTTTTTTTCTTTATGTCATTATTATTTTTGAAGAACTGTGAACAACCGTGTTGTTAGGAAAAAAATGAGTGAAAAGATAATATTTGAAGACAATAATAAAATATACTATTAAAGTGGAAGAAATATTAATCAATAATTATGGGATTCTGGGAAAATGGAGAAATAAGTATATTATTTAAGAAATTTTGGAGTTGGTTTCATAATTTAAAGAACCTCATACAATATTATATTATTACTTAGTTTTTAAATACGCCTTTTAAAAAAGCAATGGATGGAGAAGAATTAAGAGTATAGAGGTAATTACTTCTTGATTAAACTAGTCAAACCATAAATACAGAGAAGGTCATTAAGAAATTAAAAAGGAAAACTTTATCTATCTACAAAAAACGAAAAATCCTATGTCTCTCTCCGCATAATCTTTCACTCGTCATCATTTCTCTCCTTTTTCTTTGAAACCTTAATTTCCAAACATGAAAAATTAGACCCAATCTGTGCAAGAATTCCCATGGTCTAGAGCCAAAACAAATCAGCCCTGTAATTTTTTTACTGGTGATGCAGGTAGCTGTGTGAAGGAGGAGAATTGTGATTTCATTCACCACGGGGCTAGGTCACCGCTGGAGATTGAATGAAGAATCCGTTATCGGTATGATTCCGGTGAAATCATCCCTGGCAATCCCAAGAAATACAAACAAACAAAATGAAATGGATAAATTTAACTGATTGGAATTTATTTTGATGTACTTTTGGTTTCATCACTTTATTTAATAATACTATTAATAAATAGAGGGATAGTGTACAAATTTGGGGTAAATGGGTAATACATTTTGGTTAGATCTGGAATATTAGACAAAAAAAAGCAGCAAATTCATCAACGTAGGAAACTGGGCATAATAAACAAAATGAAGAACAAAGCCATGAAAAAAAAAACAGATGTGAACTATGGTGCTGAAGTAAAATTGGATAGTGAAGTTATGGGGGGTTCTTCAACCAAATTCGAAAGGCTCTCCAAATCTTCTTAAACGTTTTTCTAGATCTTTTGTTTTGGTATTTTTAGAAGAAGAAAAAAAAATGTTGGGGAGGAGGCTTCTTTCCTTTTTTTAATGTATGATTTTTAATTTATATTTCCACGGTATCCAATAAGACAATAAAATATAACTTTTGAACGTCCTTTTTTTTTTCAAAATGATTGAAAATTAAAAATACAAAACAGACAAAATATTTACAAAAACAATATTGTTGATCATTTACAATTGCGTTGAATCTTTCGTCTTTATTAGACCAGAGTCCACGCCAAATACATCTCCTTAACGGAAACCGTCAGCTTCAACGACGCCGTCTACAGCTCACCGTACTAACGACGTCTGAAACCGTCAATTCCGTCAGCGCATCGTTAACCATCCTCAAATCTCCCACCATGATCTCCCCGCTGACATAATCACCGACGTAGATCTTGTCCACGTCACCAGCGTTGACTCTAACGATCTTTCTGAGTAACCGCCCCGGCTGCCTCCATTCCGCGAGCAACGCCGGCATCCCGAATCCGGCACGTGCATCCCACGCACTCACTTCCACGACGGCGTCGGATCCTTTCTTCTCCGCCGCTAATAAAACCGCCGGCGACAACGACGAAGCAGCGACGCAGTTGCTCAAGAAAGAAGCCACCGTTCCTTCTTTCTTGACATCAAGATGGTCCCATAGCTTCACGACTCCGCTTGAGCCGAGGCCACCAAGATCCGGCCAAGATATTAAATCTCCGAAGCTACCACTGCACCGCCGCATCCAGGGGACATTTCCATTTATAACCTTCTCATCATCATTACCTCTAACGCGTAAATCGTAAGTGTCCAAGTCATGTTCTTTGTCATCGTCGTAATCTTCGTCTTCCCCATCGTCCGAGGAGTCTGACGAGCAAGAAGAATCGGAGTCGCTATCGTAATCGTAGATAAGAGCTGAAGAAGGTAGAGATACGTCTACATGATTTCTTAATCTAGGGACTAAGCTCTTGACCCTAGTACTCAAAGCGGTGAATGAAGCAAGAAATGCAATTAGCAATAAACCGCCCCATTTCCAGAAACTATAAGCGTGATGTAACTTTCCGACGCCGGAGACAACAAAAGCTCGAGATGATAATGCGGGGTCGTTTATACCGACGTCAAAATCGCTTATTCTGTTAATAACCGGAACCTCCATCGCCAATATAGGGTTTTTTTCTGGTAGAAAATTGTGTTTCTTGTTTGCTAAGTTAAAGAGTTGAAGAAGAGAAGAGATTTTGGGTTTAGGGGTCACGCGGGTATTTAAAGAGAAAGAAAGACATGACGTGGCAGATAGCTAGAGGATATATCCATGTGGTGTATAATCCATAACACGTATAGGTGACGGCAGAGGCTTTCTAGGAAGTGCGGAGGCGGAAAGATAAGAGCACAAGTTTAATGCGTCAGCCTCATGCCACACGTTTGTGGATGATTGGTAGTTTTGTGATGTTTATATATATACAATGTATATACTTTAACGTTTTGTACAATTGAAAAAATCCAGTTTTTTTCTTCTTTGATCTGATTTAAGTCGAATGACTCATTTCGACTCCAAAGAGAGATATCGACGCCAAGGTTTATACTGTTATACACGGTCGGAATTTCATATATATATATATATATATATTTGTTTAATTGTATTAAAAATTCAGGTCCTTGTAAGAATGCTTTAAAGAATCTTTAAGCATGTATGCCAATGCACCGTACCTTTTGACGGCATGAGTTGCTTATCTAGAGCTCTACAGCTTTAGCTTACAAAAAGTTGGTTTTGCAAAACCATTCTTTCAAACTCGGTTTATCTCCATTTAAATGTTTGGTTTTCTGGCTTTTTTTTATTACGAAGAGTTAAGCTTTGGGGTATTCAATTTCTAGGACGACATGAGATCTTCAATGGATTGCATAATTAATTTTCTTAACAAAATATATGACTGAACCATTCTGACTAATCAGAAAATGATTTAGAGATTGTTCAATTTTTCAGAAATTAGCAGAAAAGTAAAAGGCTTGGGAAGAATCTCTACAACTACAAGGGTTTGGTTTTTTTTTGTTTTTTTGTTTTTTAGCAAACCACTTTATTATTGATCACCTGATACAACAAGCTATGACAAAGTTGTCATACAGTTTTTAAAAGCCATTACAAAGATAGAAAAAAATAAGGATACATTGAAGCATCAAATACAATCGAATCTTCCGCTTCGATTGAGATTATAGCCTAAGAAAATGGTGTGAGCTAGCCACTCCCTCCTCTTCCACGGCCTCTGTTTCCTCGTCCACCTCCTTTGACTTGCCAAATACTAGCTTTTATCGAAGGTTTAACAGGTCTATCTCGAAGGATTCTCTTTCCCGGAGGCGTCATAAGATCCATCACGTCAGAAGAGACCAAAGAGGCAAACTTATTGTCACCAAGATAAAGCTCAGGCTGCTTACTCTCCAATTGGACAGTAACAATAGTATTAGGAGAATCAGAGTTTAAAGCGAGTTGAGTGGTCTCCAAAGGAGGAGATTCACTATAATCCAAGATGATGTTAGACGTCTGCACGGTTGGAGGTGCTATATCAATAGAAGTCTCCTCTAGGACTGGTTTAGCTGCTGAGATTAGTGAATCTCCGACGTTCGTATAATTAGCTTGAGAAACAAGTATTTGAGGAGGATTTACCTTAGTGCTTTTGGCCTGGTCAGGAGCAATTGATGATCCTGCAATGATTGGAACTGATAGCATATTCCATTTGTTTGGAATGATCCCTACAAGGGTTTGTTTGTTTGGTAGCATATTCCATTTGTCTAAAAAACAGAGATCCCCCAACTTTGGCCGCCCTCTCAACCACAAGTTGGCTCTCTAAATTCTTTTTTATCTTGATTGATGTTTATGTATTTCGCAAGAATGGTCCTCTTTTTGGTGATTTGAATTTGGTTGATTTGCTAGGGATTTTATATATCATTTCAATAAATAAGATTGTTGTTTAAAGAGTTCTGGTTCGATTGTTGATTTCTGATGCTGATTTTGGTGAATGTTGTGGGAGCTTGAGATGTGATGAAACTCTAAAACAATATGTACGTGGTTTGTCAATATGGGAACTCTTCGAGTGGATTGTAAAACGGAAGAAGGCTCTCAGGTTCTATGTCCTTCCTTTCATTGTTTTCATTTCATATATATTCCTCTGTTGGCGAGATTGAATTTGATATCTCAGTTTACGTGATTAGAAGACGACAATGGTCATGATCATTACGTAGTTTACATTGGAATTTGCAGTCATTCTAGAGTTTTTCAAGACAGTCTTTTGCAATTGCATGGAACTACAATAGATGAATTTGCTCTTGCTTTTGTTTTTTTTAATCTTCTCTGCCCTGTTACGTTGGATTAATGTTGATGAAGAAAGTGGAAATGAACTCGGCTTGCTTCCAAACCGCGCTCAGTTATGAGACAATAAAATATGGTGGACAAGATGGGGATTCATTGAAGCTAAGCAGCAAGATCTTTGGTTTCATTTGGAGGGTCTTTAGCTCTAATATAAAGAAGATATCAAATACACAAAAGCTGGAAGAAAACAACGCGGGAATCTGCATATTTCTTTATGTGGGAGGCTGAGAATTGATTCATGCCAAACATAAAGTCATGGGGACGGTCTTGATTGATACTATAGATGAGGGGCTGGAAACAGATTAGGTGTCTTGGACCATTTGTTAGACGGAACCCTTTTGGCTATAGGATAGAGAAGGGACTTTATAGCAAATCATAGATACTTCTTGTACCTGGTTTATCAAATAATTAAGAGGTAGGATGTTTGATCTACACTCTTGTTACTTTGGTGATTCTAATTTCCAAGTTTCTTAGATTCACCTCATATTGTGTCTATTCATATTACTTGAGTTCAGAACGATGATTGACCAGTTGTATATATATATGGTCTCATAATAATTTGAGAGTCTTGATGGACGAATTGACTATAATTACATCAAACACACGGTAAATTGCACACAAGTTGAAAAAAAAAGGGCACACATGAAGAATTGAGTGCATGTTTAATTATAATCTTCTAACAAGGTTTTGTCTATCCAAATCTCGAATTTTATGGTGAATGTTACAAAAATGTTTCAAATTAAACTTTTTAATTGATTAATGGTCAAAATAACTCATCAAATAGAAACTTCATAGTCTTAGTACATACTTATATACTACTCTCTCTGTTTCAGAATATAAAATGTTTTAGGAATTTTTTTTGTTCCACAATATAAGATGTTAGTATGTTACAGAATTTTTAAGGTACTTTTTACAAACTTCAAGAACCATTATTGAAAAGTAATTGGATTCTAAAATTCTATTGGTTAATATTTATTAATAAATTAAAGTGATTTGATTAAGAAAGTAAAATATTAATTGTCGAACAATAAATGTTTCTTAATTTATGTAAAAAATCCTATAACATCATACATTCAAGAAGAGAGGGAGTATTAATAAATGATAAGTGAAACAGGTATAAAACATTTTTAAAATTCATTTGCTTATATTAATTTCTTAGGCATTACCAACTTCTTCTAGGTTGTGGTTCAATATCAGTTAGCTAAAGTACCACATAAATTCAAATAAAATCACAAATTCTTATTATCAAAATGTACTCACCTAGTAATTAACTAAAAGTACAAATTTGGGTCAAGTGTATTAGTAACTAGAGGGTATAAAAGTAATTATTTAAACTAGTTAACGTTATCAAACTATTCCATAAATACGAAGGAGCTCTTAATTAAAAAGCAAAACTTTTTCTATCTCATAATCAAAACCTTAGTTTAGATTTTATTCATCGTCTCTCTTAAAAACAATGGCTCAATGCGAAATATATTTTCTTGGAGACTCTAGCATCTGTTTAAACTAGTTAACGGTTATCGAACTATTCCATAAATACACAAATGTCTTAATTAAAAATCAAAACTTTCTCAATTTGATAAATCAAAGATTTCATTCATCGTTTCTCTTAAAATTTAATGACTACTTCAGCTAATTACAAGCTAACTAGAGATAGATTTTCACACACTTATTATCCATAATTTCAAACTTTTAGGAGTCCGTGCTTGGTCATTATATTATATCTATAGGAATATTGAGATCATGCTTTGTGCTTTGAATTAAGTGTGAAAAGATCACTAGTTGCCATGAAATCTAAATCTGTAAATATCATGAGCTATTTTTTGTAAAATTTTGGTTTGCTGCGTAGAGTTATGGAAGATGTCTTAATCACTTACCAAGTGGAAACATATTTTAGCTGTTCAGTTCAAGTGAAAACATATTAATTGTTATATGACTAAACTTTTTGTATTTTTTTCTGTCTTTTTGTTTTTTTGGAGTGGACAAATTATCCGGCATCCAGTCAGCATCGAATATTCAGGTTTTTTTAAGTGTTCAGAACTGAATTTTAATAAAAAAAATCACAGATTACATAATACCTAATCAACTAAATTATAATAAGATCTATTATAAATTTAAAAAAATTTATAGCACATACAAATAAGAAGAAACAATATATATAGGCAGGTGCCTATATGCATACAATATGGAGAGAATTTAGCAACAAATAGTATATTTTTGTTTTCCAGTCAAATGTCAATTGAAATTTAATTGCACCTATAGTCAATGTTTATATTTTCAAAATTTACTATTGGATGTAATTAAATTTCAATTGAGATTTGAATAGAAAAAAAACAACTGATCATTTTAAAAACAAAAGTTATGTCTATATAGAGGTATTTCTCATTAAAAAAAAAAAGCATTTTTCTTTTTTTGTTTCCTAGAGTTTTTATATAAGGAATGAAATTAAAAATTAACTGCTATCTTACTATTAAAGTATTAATATTTAATACTAACGCGCCCTTATTATTGGGGTAGCGTTATACTACGTACCGAGATATCCGTGTTCCGCGAACCAGAGAATCACCTCACTGTGTACATTTTCCTTTTCCTAAATCGGCGACCGATCACCGATTAAAGACTTCAGCAACCGGTGGCTTCCTCCGCTCCGATCCGATCCCGATGTCGCTGTTAAACCAACTCTTCAACCGTGGAGTCTTCGGCGCGAAATGGTTCTTCTCCGTTCCTTTTCTCACTTTCCCGCTTCAAATTCTGCTCTTTCACTGTTTGCCTTACATGTGATCTCGTAATAGGATTTTGGGCACTGAATCTAGGGTTGATTAATGCCATCGATTGCTCTTTCCTTCAGTTATTTAGAGTTTATGCGCTTGATTGTTCACAAACTTGTAAAATTGAGGTTGTTTCGTCTGCTAAATTTTGGCAGCAAGACATGCTTGAATTTGGCGATTGCTCGGATGAAATTGCTGCAGAACAAGAGAGATATGCAGCTTAAACACATGAAGAAGGAGATATCTCAGTTCTTACAAGCTGGACAGGAGCCAATCGCTCGAATCAGGGTCTAAAACCTTACTCTTTAACCATTTTATGATCCAATTGTGTATGTTAGTTATATATCTCGTACAAGGAACATCAAATCCTGTGTTTGTTATCTGAGATTATTAGGTGGAGCATGTGATCAGAGAAATGAATTTATGGGCAGCTTATGAGATATTGGAGCTATTCTGCGAGTTTGTTCTTGCTCGTGTTCCAATTCTTGAAAGTCAAAAGTGAGTCTTTGATTTCATTCTGTGATCGAAAGTGAGGTATTGGTATTGGTATTGGATGTGACAGCATTAATAATGTTGTGTGGATTTGAATCGAATAGGGAATGCCCGAGAGAGTTGAGAGAAGCTATTGCTAGCATCATCTTTGCTGCTCCGAGGTGCTCAGAAGTGCCTGATCTTCTTCAAATCAAGAATCTTTTTGGTACAAAATATGGAAAAGAATTTATCATGGTTTCTTCTGAGCTCCGTCCGGATTCTGGTGTCAATCGCACAGTAAGTATCAAACAAAGCTTCTTTCTTAATCATGTTTATCCAGAGAAGTGCAGTCTTGAATGAAGTGCTTAACTTGTTTGGTTTTTGTGTCAGATCATTGAAAAGCTTTCTCCGGCCAGTCCATCGGGAGAGGCAAGGCTCAAGGTCTTGAAGGAGATTGCCAAGGAGTACAACTTGAATTGGGACTCTTCTGCCACAGAAGCAGAGTTCATGAAGAGCCATGAAGACTTACTGGTACCAATTCTCTAAACTTATACATCCAGTTTTAGGGAAAGCTAGTCTGTGACTGTTACATTCACATCATTAAATTTCTATTTCCCTAATATGTGCATTCATGGTATATCCCTATACGTCTGCATAGAAATAAATTGATGATCTTTGAGTTTGGTTCAATATTTTGGAAATGTTGCAAACCAAATGAGATCCCTATATAGAGTTGATAGTTTGTTTCTGATGTGATTTGTAGGGTGGAGCTAAGCAAATACATAGTCAAGATGGTTTCTCTGAATCTCGACCATCCCAACAAGGCTACACTCAGTCATCTATTTCTAGTGAAGCTGAGACTCTAACTGCAGAGGCCACACTGAGACTCCAGAGGCTTCAAGCACAAACCCCAGTGACATCATCTAAGCTGACTCCAGCTTCGCGAGCGCCTCCTGATACTACTAGACGGGATCAGACTGATGCAATGGAGAGAGCTCGGGCTGCTTTAGCTAGCGCGGATCGTGCAACAGCAGCTGCTCGTGCTGCAGCACAGCTAGTGAATGTCTCTTATGGGGTTGCTCCACCCACAGTAGCAGCAGAAGGGAAGCCCTCAAACTTTATGTAGTTCCCAAGTAAACCATTTGTGAATGTTAACTGAAAAAAAACAGCACATGTTATTTGTTACATACACAGAGAGAAGCTCACAGGAGTCAATCTCGACTCCGTTCATATTGTAACAACATCACTTTAATTGGTTGAAACGATTACATTTGGATCGATATATAATCACGCCGTAAGCCCTAACTTAGTACCCTGATTGGACACACATAGTCGGAGCTGGACGTTGTCTTCTTGAATATGTTATATGTTCCTTGGCAAAGAGTCAACCGGAAACTTCTAACTTCCGCTCCAGATTGGATATGTTCTTCAAACCTGATAGAAGCTGAAACGTTCTTCATCCTCTAAGCAATTCAGTTGTTCCCTTCCATAGTTATCCGAAAAAATCTTTGCATGCAAGGAGGAATTTAGTATATGATTTAAGATTTCCGACAATACAATATTCGCATACATTGTGTAAAATGTTGTTTTGTTTCTGTAAAACAAAAAACAAAATTCTTGATTAGGATTTCTGAGATACACTAATAAATATATAACTAAATTATTCTTATTAATATTTTGAATGCGGGATAGAGTATGACATAATTTTATGGGTTATCGTTCATTTTGATTACCACTTTGTTTGTTATATTCAAATTCAAGGGTTCAAGTAGGACTTTCACGTAGTAATGCAAACAAATAAATTTTTGGAAGGGATTAATCAGAAATTTATGTGTCTAGGTTTTTGAGAGACGGAATTTTTGTTTATAATCCACAACCTTCAGGACTTCTCAATTCTTATAAACTCGGTCCATGTTTATGAGGAATTGATTTTTCTAAAGTTTAGTTAAAACATTTGGTTAAGTGACCATATATAGTTTTTGGAGACAGTCCTTAATTGTTTATTTGCATACTTCTTTCTCGTTTCACACCTAATTTAGTTATATTATGTGACTAAGAAATCAATCTTACATAACTCAATAAAAGAGGCAAAAAAATGCATGTTTTCTGATTAATATGAATTAGAATATGATGATGATCGTTTTCCTGTGCATTTTCCTTAAGGGTGTTAGTGGTTTTGTACCACATTCCAACGTTACTGATGAAATCTATACACACTTAGTGTCCAATTGAGCAAATTTTGTGCAATTTCTAAAACTGCAAAACAAGAACCATGGTTCAAAGAAAAGGCAATTTCTCAAACTGTGTTAATACGAGCCTGCGAAGTCGAGTGAGGAGCTGGAAAAGCCCAATGATGAACATGTGAAGTCCAGAGAGACGACTCAGCCTGGTGCTCCGGTTAGTACCATTCATTCTCCAAGTAGTTCTAAGACTGGTCGTAAATGTGATGAAAAGAGATATGTGCGTAGGAGTCGTAGGTTAGGTGTGAAAAAGAACAAATGAAACATTTATGTTTTACTGATGTATGTTTCTATTTCAAGTGTATTACCTTGTACACTTTCTCTGGCATTTAAATAAAAGTTCAACTTTCTCCACACTTCATTATATGTTTTCTCTCTTTCTCTGAACCAGGAAATTGGTTAGTTTGAATGGTTTTTCCTATGCCACCAAAGCTCTAGGTATACTTTTAGCACCAGTCAATAATGGAAGACCAAAAGTATTAATTTTTTGAAATCCTATTCTATGCATATATTTTATCGTGAAAGCCCTGTTTATTTCTTCACCGGCCATTAGGATAAATGTGCTAATTTGGAAACATTATTTATGTATTCCAAAACAAAAACAAAAAGAAGAATTTAATAATAGTTGATTGACATCGTCATGATCGTGTGCGTGTGAGAAAGAAAGGTCCACTTACGACTTGCCCCTTCGGACACGCACAATCTCAACTCGTCCTTTCCAAATTACAACTTTGTCTCTTCCTCATGAACGTTTGGTCTATTTCAAGTCCAGGTGGGATCTCCACTATTTTTCATATCAATTTTCCAACCTTTTTAAAGCAAAATCGAATGGTTTTTTTTGTAATGCCTTTTTTGTTTCTTTCACATCATAAGAAAAATATATTCGAAACAATATAGAAAATCGGTACGTGCGGGGATTTCAGTTTCCTCTAGCCTGCATTTTGATTTCTCAACATTAAAAATGTATAAAACAAAAGAAAAATTCCTGTTATTATTCTGGTGAACCACTCTCAAAGATATTTGTAGCAAAAAGTAATGGAGGACACGTAGGGCCGAAGGAACAGACAGATGGTGTGTGGCTAAGCAACTGTAGTCTCTCTCTCTTCCATGTCCTAAACCCATGTCTCAATACACATTCTCTTCAAAAACTCATTTCCTCTCCCGATCTCTCCATTATATATAATATATATCTCCTCTCTCCCTTCACTCATACATGCATTGATCATTTACATGAAGAGGGAGAAAAAGAGGCAGAGACTCGAGAAAGAGGAGGAAAAGAAAATGGAGGTAGTGGTGGTGGAGGAAGAAGATGCGTTGGCTGCTGCTGCGACGGTGGCTGCGGCTGCGGCGGTGAAGGAGGAGGAGGAATTGTGGGGGATGAGGCTTAAGGAAGAAGGAGGTGTTGTGGTCGATGAGATGATGACGTGGAGCACCTTTTGGCTGCCTTCATGTTGGGACGTGGAGTTTGTTGAGAAAAACTATGGAGTTTTGTTCGGTGATGTTGTGTGGGAAGATGATCTTTGGAATTTGAACACTTCAAATCAGCAGCTTCCTCCTTTAGATGAGATCAAACGAGATTGAAGTAGAGATTCAAGGTTTTTCAACCGGTTCGGTTTTTGGGATTTTTTATGGTTTAGTATGAACCATATTGTAATCAAAATTATATGTTTTGATTTGGTATGGATTCATTTTAAGTTTAGATCATGAGTTTTTTTTTATAAAATAATATCCTTAATCTGAGGATTTCTTTTATATAGAAAAATAAAGTTGGTTTTGGCCTTTGGTTTTTTTTCCCTTCATTGGTTTTGGGTTTTCCGGTTAGGAAAATAAACCGAAATTTGTTTGTTTTATGGTTTTTGAAACGAAATCAATTGATCGTTGTTTACCAATACTTATCTACAAGCTTACTTGTTTCAAGTGTTCCGTAAAGATATTGATTCTAGACATGTCCGGATCATATCTCATTTTTTACGACCAAATTTTGGTTCTATCTTGTAAGCATACTTTTACATGAACCTAAGACCTTCAAATATCTAAAGTAGTCGCATAATAGAATAAGAAAGAGTTTATAAATCACTTATTATTATAGGTGATTAGGTTTTTTTCTTCTTGCTTATAAACTCTTATGTGTCTGCCTTTCAGGATGCTTTTACAATAGACTAAAGACATAAATTTATAGGTAAAGAGAGGACATAATTTCTCTTTAAGTTTTTTCTTAAATTAATCTCAACCGTTCATTAAAATAAAGATTATAAAAAAATACTCTTTTGTATTTAAATTAATTAATTACCCAGTTTGTTATGGAATAGCAATAGCCCAATAAAAAAATGGATTAATATAAGATCATAGGGAAATAATTTATCTTACACCATCATCATTTATACATACTGTTATTTTGAATTCCTTTGACTGGTTAGTAATCAGTTCTTACTTCTCATATTCCCATCTCCGAAGCCAGATAAGTTCTCAGGTCATTTCCATTTGGAAGTCATGTGAAAAATTCAACATTTCTAACATATCTCACTCTTTTTCTTGTTTCATAAATCATTACACAATTTGTTATTTGATTTATATGTCTTTGTTCTGTGAAGATCTATCGGTAACCATAACTTACATTAAGTTCAAAGAAAAAAAAACTTACATTTCATATTCCCTAGCCTGCTCCGAAAGTCAGTTAGGCTCTCGAGTCCGTTTAATCGTTGGAGTCATGTGGAATAAAAAACATGTGATCAAGAATCCAAGATCCATCGATCCTTGTTTTCTTCTTATGTTTACTTTTCTAATTTTTTCACATTTTAATTAATTAAATTTATTTGTTCTGATTATTAAACATGTAATTATAGTTTTAAAATAAGTAACACGTATCTCGCTTTTATGTACAAACACATGTGCCAAAATCGTAAAATTATCGAACACCATAAGTTGTAATGAACAAATAATACAAAGCCTATTTAACCACCAAAAAGTGTAAAATTTAAATTTAAAGCGAAGTAGATAGAAAAGAGGGCGCAATAGACAAAAACTAACCGAACTATTCATCATACGGCAAAAGAGCTTGGTACTTTGGTTTATAGATAGGCATTTTGTTCATCATACGGCAAAAGAACCGAAATATTTCATCCTACGGCAATATTCATCATCATATGATGTAAATCCGGTGAACAGTTTATACGCCGTGGGTTTTAAGATTGGCATTGCTGAATATTGAGTAACGAAGTGTGGAACATTTTACCAAACTAGAATAATAGATCCACAACAGTTAAAAAGCAAGGTGTAAAATAAAAGGACATGAGAAAAAGAAAGTGAGACAATGACAAGAAGAAAATGGCGAGTGAAGTGGAAAAGAAGACAAGCTTGACATCAAATACTCCTCACGCTCTCAGTTCGATAAGACTGATAGAAAGGAAGAAAATATCTCAAGTACCAAAGTCTCCTCAATCTCTTAATAAGCACATCTTATTATTTGAAGAAGGTTTATGGTAAGAAGGTTAACTTGCTGTTTCTTTATAAAAAAAAAAAGTACTATCTATAGTTTGACTGGTTTATCATATTTGTTATTTTGCTACTAAAAATGTGAGCAAGTGCATTTTCTCTCAAGAGAATATATTGAATTTGATATTTTAGATGAATTGGGGTGATTTCATCTTTAAGATGATGAATTTGGAAGTTGGAAGTTGTTATAATTTTTTTTTTTTTTTTTTGAAGTTGTTATAATTTTAATGAAATCATTATAGAGTTTTGTCATCTAAAACCCATCAATTTAAATATTTCCACTAACACTATTTCCAATCACAAGTTCAATAATACTGGATCAAATATAACTATTTCAACAGAAATTTGTCATTTTAATACAAATCATATATATTGTTATTAGCCAAACAAATATAGACAATGTGAATCTGATATTACATTTTACATATACAGTTATACAGTTTCTTTTTTTTCTTTTTATTATTCTTATTAGACATACCCATGTGACCCATTGATTGACACCTCTTGACCAGACATATTTTGTTTGTCAAGAAACATATATAACATTTGTTTGACTATACTTACACGAAGTTGAACACTATCATATACTTCTTCAGATTTCAAACTCTGCTGTAGATAATTATTTTACATTATAAAACAGTATGTTTTGCGTGGCACATAATCGTTGNATGCTCTGTTTCCGGCGAGGGACAGTCCTATCGTCTCGTTACTTGAGTTCATCAGGCGGATGCTTAGCAGGTGGTTTGAAAGCCGGCGTGGTACCATTAAGAAGATGGCCGGGGATATTCCTAAAGAAGTTGATAAGGAGCTCCTAAAGCAGCTGGAAATGTCTCGTGGACTACCTGTTTTATCGTTGGGCGGATGGAACTTCGAGGTTATATCAGCTAGTGGAGCGCACCGACTTGTTTCACTTGATGGAAAGACATGCAGCTGTCGTGAATTCCAAACTCTCAGAATTCCGTGTCGGCATGCCATGGCAGCGGCCACGTCCTGCAACTTGTCGTATAAAACTTTGGTTGATGTAATCCACAAGAAACCAAAGTGGACGGCAACATTAGAAGGTATTATACTACCTCTCCTTGATCCAGATGACCTGGTTCTCCCGACAGATGTTGTAGATGCACCGATCACACATCATCCTAGGTTAAAGCGGCCATTTGGCAGACCACCAAAGAAGAGGAAATTTTCTGAAGGAGAATATCCGGTAAAACATCATATACCCTAATATAATCTTGCCCGTGTTTTATTTCATGTATTTATAAATGAGTTCTCTTTATAAATATAAAATTTGCTTCTTAACAGGGGGCTGTTAAGAAGAAAAGGCCAAACAAGTGCGGAACTTGTGGAATTGCAGGACACAACCGCGTTACCTGCAAATCTCCTTTGAAGTGATGTGGTCTACGGTATTCTAGTGTACCGGTATTTTGGTGTACGATATTTTCGAACGGTTTTTGGTGTACTGTATTTGGTGTACGGTATTTGTTCGTGTACGCGTACTTTGGTGTACTGTATTTGGTGTACGCGGATGTTTGGTGTACGGTATTTTTTAATGTTTATTTTGGTGTACGATTATTTCGTGTACGCGTATGGTGTACGTATTGTTGTCTTACTATTGTTGTCGTGTATTTTGCCTGACGGTATTGTTGTCTCTTGCGTATTTTTGTGTACTTTCTCTACTTTGTTTATCTCTTTAAACACTAATGCTTGCTGGTTTAGGGTTTTGGTTTTTATGGTTTAAACACTAATGCTTGCTGGTTTAAAAAGGTTTTTATGGTTTGCCTTGTTTTAGTCTTTAGGAACATCTAAAATTGGTTTAAGATGCCTTTTAAGGTTTGCCACGCATTTTTCGTATCTCTCAAGGTTTAGGGTCCCAGACAACTTTACGGTTTAGGGTATAGGGTATAGAGTATACGGCACAAATTATAGTGGCTCCCGATAATCTTTCTAATAAATGTTGTTTGCATGGTAAAATGTTGGCAGTTCGAAAGAAATTATAAATCTTTTGTTTTCTTCTTACCATACAGTTTATTTTATAAATTACAAAACTAAGAACATAACATCCAACACAACGGAAAATATGGAAAACAGATTTATTAGAGCATGCTATAGACGCGTCTTGCGGACCAATATATGGAGCAGGTGTTGCAAATACGTGGGGTTTGGCGATGTTCGAAAACGCAGGGAGGCATAAGATCCGGTGGATACGTGAAGGAAGAAATGTTACGACCAAAATATGATGGACAAAATGATGAAATCTGACGAGTCAGGCAGATGCCGAGGGATCTTGCTCTGTCTGAGTTGAGCGGAGCGTGTTTCTCGGCAAATATCCGCAACAACATACCAGCATCTTCTTCATCCCCTGAAAGTATCGACAAAATTGCCGCCGCAAGAACGGAATATGGGTCCTCTGTTCCGTTTGACTCCATCAGAATGATGGCGCGATACAAGTTCCCAGAGACCGCAAGCCGGAGAGCCTCAAAGTATGTTGCCTGTCGATTTCGGCTACGAAGACACTTTTCAAAGAATGGCCGACCCTTAATTCCTCTTTCCCCAAGTAATATATCCATTGGCTCAGCGCAAAGACTGGTGAGATTGCACATACGGAGAACGTTATCCGAAAATACCAACCGATTAGACCGCTTACCGGCTAGAATGAAAGGGACGAGGTACTAGAACTGATCCTCACCGACCTTTTCAATAATCGTGGACAAAATTTCATCTGGTATATCAGGTAATGTCATTTGAGGATGAATGTTTAATGGAGAAGGAATGTAACGAATTGTGTTTTGTGGTGGAAACGTGTTTGCAAGTCTTAATATAGGAGAGAACGGTTGTGGTGGAAGTAAATTTTATCTTTTTAGGTAGGTAGTACCATAAATATTTGTCCAGCTGCATTACTTCTACGAGAAATGAAATATTAGTTTGGGGAGGTGGGAATTATAACAAGTAATAAATGCTCAATTTCACATTTTACTTGAATAGTAGTTTCTCTCCTACAATCGACATTAACAACTACAATCGAAATAGTAAAAATATGTGCATTACAACATCGAACATATTTGTAATGCACAAACCACATGAAACAGAGGCTGCACCTTTTTGGGAAAACATGGTCGTCAGCGCAATCAGGGATTCTCACGGCGTCATCGTCAGAGTAAGAAAAAACATCATCGTACGAGTCAAGGTAAGGTGGGTTTAGGGATGAAATATCGTCCATCACTTAGCAACCAATGGTTATTGCTCCTTCTTCATGAAGATGGCCGTGGCTACTGATAAATACTTTGAACAACTTACTTGCGGAACAATCATCCCCGGAACACGCACAACACAAGGCGGCTGCAAGCGTTGATTTGGGGTGATTAAATCCGTTTGACTCCAGTAACTCTATTCCTCCATCCATGTCCCTCAGGTGGATGATGCGGTTTAGAGCTTCAACATAATTTGCGACTGGGTTCGCAGAACGTAAACACTTATCGAAGAAACATCTTGCCTTACCCCCTTCAAGTATGTCCTCATGATTCTCCATGTATAGCGACTGTATGTTACATGTCCGTAAGAGATCTTCCTTATAGACAAGGCGAAGAGCCCTCTTACCCGCACGGAGCAAAGAACCAAGGTTCTTTGCATCACACTCGCCAACGGCCTTGAAAATAGTGTAGAGAATTTCATCCGGTAAGTATGGTATTTCCATTTCAAAGAGTGGTTTTTGTATATCAATGATATCTTCTTCTCCTCAATTTAATAGTCAATATTTATAGAGTGGGTTTGAGGAGTGCATTTACTGCAGTCTACCTAATTATCTTGACAATTGATTACAGTTGGCCTTTAACAGAAACGTATTATAACGATAATATCACATTAAACATAAGGTATTGTTTAGGTAGGAGAACAACATATTCAATAAAAATGCAATAGCTTACACCAAAACAAGTGGTGTACAACTAAAAAGGGATACAATAAGGAATAACATACTAGAAGACCATAAAAACACAAATCCGAGGGTTTTACGCATACCCTAAAAACACATATCCGAGGCTTAACGCATACCCTAAAAACACAAATCCGAGCCTTGTACCATCCGAAAACAATCATACAAATAACCGCCGTTCCATTACCGGTTATAAATTTCATGTACCGTATGCTCCGTTCATTGCGGCTCCGACGATGACCCCCACGGCTGCGATTACGATCCCGCCGAAACACAAAAGCTTAGGGAGAGGATACTTTGGTAACTGTGATGGGATTTCCTCACTCATACCACCAATCCCCCTATGAGCACTCAATTTAGATTCCGCAGCCGCCGTGAGTTGCTTGTAGTAATCCACCTCCGTTTTAAGGGCCCGGATTCTGTCTTGCGCTTTGATTAGAGCCAACTTCTGCCATCCATGGGGTGGTTCGGAGTCCACCCAGCGAAAGTAGTCACACCCGCGTTCAAACCGGTTGTTGACAATAGGGCACTTGTAAAACTCACGCCCTGGGTTCTGATTAGTCCACGCCGTCAGGATAATCGGTGTTTCCAAGCACTAACAGTGGGGAGTAACCGGGTTTCCCTGATTTGCTACGATCTGGGCATCAGCGCCGGTGGAGGAGGAGGAACGACAATCCATGTTTGCAGTTCTTTTCAGTAAGCGAATGAAGAGACGAATAGAACGACAGATTTGCCGGATCTTATAGATTAAAGAGTACACTACAAAGGATAAAGAAAAATTAAAATTTCAAAACAATGACAGATGGCCATGCCATATCCAAGGAAATAATTATAATCTCTTTTAATTTCATCTCTCCACATGGTAAAAGTTGGGATGAGTTGACGGATGGAACAGCTCGGCCTTTACCAAGGAAATTCAAATCTTCTCTTCATAGTTACCAAGGAAATTCAAAATCTGCAATTCATAATCTGCAATTCATTTCAGCCAAATGAATTTCAGATTATTGAAAAGTGGTTGTGGCCGACAGCGAAGCCTCGGAATACGCAAACCATCACAACCTAACTTATACCACAAATGAACAGTTCGCGGTTACAAACTTAGTTTATTGGTTTTGATATCTTGTTCGGTCCGATCATAGTCACTAACCTTGTGTAGTTACAATCAAACCGAAAGCACATTATTGTTTGTATTTCTCGGTTTAAAACTTGCTAATATAGTGAAGAAGAAAACAATATTTTGCTAATATAGTGCGAAGAAAATATTTTCTGGCAACGTGAACACTTATCATACGAGATCTAGAAGCAAAAAAGGAGCTCCACCCCACGACGAAACCAGACTCCGACTCTTCCGAGTCCCCCAGCGTACCGGAATTACCTGACGATGTCCTCACCAGAATTATATCTCTAAGAGCCAACAACTCTGTCGTTGTTCTACGACCTTTTGTTCGCGCCGGAGGTCGGACCAGACGTCTAGTGTACACACCAACAGTACTTCGTAATTGCAACTTCCACCCTCTGTTTTTCCGCGACCCCGATAGCATTCTCAACCACAATGGGAGGGCCCGACACATCTTCGAAGCTGCTATTCGAGAAGGAAATCAACAGGCCGTTTACTTCGAGTCTCTTAATCGAGTAGTGATCCACGAAGATTATGATGGGGGATTTAGCATGCTCGACGAAATCGCACCAACCTGTCTGACCGGAGCACTGGCATCCGCTATTTTATGCGTATGCTTAGGACATACGACAAAAGCAAGCGAGATGTTCCAATTGTTCACCAATCTAACCGGAATTACAATATACGAGGCCAATGCCCGTGCGTACGGAGATCAAGTATCGACGAACATCTTCTGGTTGAGCCGTAAAGCATTTAACATGTACATCTCCGACAGCTTCCAATTCCCGAACGACGACCACATTCATGTTCCTGATTGCACATATGACCACATGTTCACCCTTGGTTGCAACAGGTGTTATATGCACCGGCTAGGATTACGTGTATGTACGCTTCTCACCTTTGTCGAGTAGACCGGAGATAGTTAAATGGGTCAACGGTTACGGTTGTAATATGCGTGTTTTTGGCTGTAATATGGAGGTTTTTCCTTCATCTCTGTATTATACTTCACTCGGTCACCGGATACTCTTTTCCACGCTGCAGAGCTTCATGTATTATAAGTACTTTTTCAAACGTTCTGTAGTTCTTTTCATATTTACGGTTTCTCCATTGCCATTCAAAGTGCCTGCAAATTGTCCAATATAAACAGGGGAAAATAAACATACACGAGTACTTGCATATCATGCGTACACATAAACATACGTTCTCTAATTATCAGCTTACCAAACCTTCGAAAACACACATAAACATAACGGACGAGTATTACATATGATACAAGTCTTTGTTCTCGTACACAAGTTACGTGGAACGGACAGCATTACTAGTTACTACACAAAGAGTATGTTTACTACATTACTAGTTACGTGACGTGGAACGGACAACGGATACAAACGTTACTTGGATAAGCTACATATCTTGGCCCCATCATTGGTTTGCTACGCCTGCATCCCCAACAAACTCTTCATAACAGTCCATCGCATATTTCTCTCGAAACCTATCCACATCTGCATCACTTATTAAACCAATTTCGTCACACCCTAATCCACAAGTGTGCATCTCTAAGAACTTGGCAGCACAAGGACCACAGTCCCCACTCCGTTTGTTTTGATATATACCATCAGCACGGGACCAAGTGTACGCCGCACCTCCCAGGTGCTTGGTAACCTCCCCCGGCAAGCATCGCTTCAGAATCGAGGGAAGGCCGACCACAACGGGTTCCATGTACCTCTCTACAACTCCGACTTTGTAGTTGTAGTCAACGAAAGGATCTAAAATCACTACGGAACTGCCCCGAAGGTCGATCACAAGCCCCACCCAGTGTTCGTTACCCCAGTTCATGGGGACATAGACGATATCGACGAAGCTACAAACGCTGTTTCCCCAGTCAAACTCACTCTGCTTCTCTGACTCTTTGAAGGCCGGAAACAAAGAAGTGATCAAACAAGTAAATGCAGGGTCCACAAATGCTGCTCTGTCTTTCAGTACAATCTCCCCTCTTCTTCGCCACAACATCGCCATTATGACTTGCATATGCTGCATTCCACGAAACACATACCATATCAAGTCGACACTTAATAGCAGCTTTCAACCACACAAACTTTAACATTCATGGGGATGTATAGTAAATCAAAATTCATCAACGCTTTATTACGCTTACCTCCGTCCCAATCCATCTCTGTCGCTTTGCGATGTCGAGGAAGAAGACATTAGTAACTGTGTGCCCCGTGACGATTGCGAACTCCCTGCAAAAGTGGATAATGGATAAGTTACTTTATGTAAATATATCAACATTAACTGCGGATCGTCCCATCTATCTATGACATGACATACTTCTCCTTTGCCGCTCTAAGCACCTTCTCAAATGTCTTGAAGTCATCCTTCGGAACACTCTGAATGGGAACATATTCGGGCTTAGATCTACTCGCAAACAGAGCTCTAAGTTTAGGATCAGCAGTGTACAGATGTCCAAGCTTCTCCGATCTTTGCGGGACACGTTTTGCCTCTGGTTTCTTAGGTGCTACAGACGTGCACTGCTCATTCGATTGACATGCTTCGTTTGTATCAGGCGTTACTTCCTCCTCATATGCCACCTGGTTGACGAGATTTTCCTCCATTTTGGTCCCCCACGCAGGTGTACAGAACCCGTGGTATAAAACCATCTGTAACTGCTGGCAGTTTCCAGAATCCGAACCTGTAATCTACACAAAAACAATCACCAAATCTCAATTATTAATCTACTCTGACAAATAAACACCTACTCACTTCCGCTCCCATCAAAATGTTAGCGATAATCACCTCTTTCAGAGGGAATGTAGATGGTCCAACACAACCTTCTCCACCTCCACGTTTCCTTTCCACATCTTCATTCGGCTCTTCCTCGCCTACTTCCGTCGAGCCTGCATGTTTTGCGCTACCATCTTCATCGTTCTACACCGTCTCCGCCTCGTCTGGCTTCTGCTTATCACTGCCTTTATCTTCCGATGACAGTAACACGCGACCTACTCCATCTTCCTCTTCACCATAACGCTTTGGCTGAACTTCAGCACTTGCTCCCACCATCACATCCGCATCCTTCTTTCCCAACTCACCACATTCCCCATCTGATGAAACTAATACCCCAACTCGTTCTTCTTCTTGACCAAAAACCTTAGCCTCAACTTCACAACTTCCTCCCACTATAACATCCCCATCCTTGTTTCCCAAATCACCCACTTTCACAACTTTACTACTTCCTCCCACCACCGCATCTGCATCCTCCTTTCCCAACTCATCGCCGTTCCCCGAATCCACTTTTTGATCAACTTGCGATAAGTCCAACGCTCCTTCATTGCCCCCGTAGTACTCCCACGTATCCCGCATTTCATCATCATCATCTTTATAGGAAAGTTCCCTGCACAAACCCTTCATTTTCCGCTTCTTATTTGACACATCTATTGTACCCACTACCTCCATTTTACGCTTCTCTCCAATATCACGAAGCCTAGTCGACCGCCTAACTAACTTCTCCGTTTCATCCTCAGCTTCATTATCCCTTTGACGACAGTCTTCTTTCAAGTCGTGAACAATCTTGACAGAGTTTTTCCCTCCATCACACCATTTCGACGACCCTCCTCCTTCGTCCTTCTTTTTCTCGTTCTGCAATACCACAGCATCCAGTATTTCCTTTTTGAACTCATTGAAAAGGTTAGAAATCCAAGGTTTCAACTCATCCAACATCGCTGCCACTACTTTCTCCGGTAAACTTTCCGCAACACTTTCTACTTTCTCAGGTTTCTGGCCTTGCTATTGTCCTTCTTCCGACCTACGCCCTTTCTTTGAGCTTTTTTTGATCTTTTTCTTGCCGCCGGTCCTTGTTTCCTCGGTCCTTTCCCTTGCTCCGTAGCTTCTGCTCTCTCATCATCCCCTGCTCTGGGTTCCTCCACATTCCCAGATGCCTCGCATCCTTGGAAATCAGAATGAGAAAATTTGTGACCTTCCCTCTTCAATTTGATCAACATTTCCACTTGCTCGTCCACAACCTCGTCATCCCACTCCAATTCTTTTTTTGCTTCGTCTTAAAAATTGGTAACCACAACCAACTGAAAGGGATAAAAATTAACAATTACTTCAATAACAGATATCAATGTTTATTAAAAATACTTGTGAAATCAGGTCTACACTACAACTAACGTGTACACTACAAATCATGCGTAGGCTCATGCGTACACTCTATAAGTCATGCTTACACTACAATTCCGATGTACACTAAAGATATTTAGTACACTACAAATCATGCGTACAATTAAGGCTCATGCGTACACTCTATAAGTCATGCGTACACTACAATTCCGATGTACACTAAAGATATTTAGTACACTACAACCATTTGCGTACGATACAGATCATGTGACATTAGAATTCCTGTGTACACTCAAAAAAGTGTATATTACAATTCCTGTGTACACTCAAAATAGTTTGCAACTCCTGTGTACACTAAAAATCTTTCACTGTGTACATCAAGAATATTTTGTACCCTACAGATTTTGCACTAGGAACTATCCTATACTAAAATTTCCGTATAATTAATTAATATCATCTCTACTTCAAATCATCTATCATGCGTACACTACAAAATCCGATGTAGACTAAACATATTTACTACACTACAACCATTTGCGTGCGATACAGATCATGTGTACATTACAATTCCTATGTACACTAAAAATTACAACTTTACAATTCCTATGTACACTCAAAATAGTTTGCAACTCCTGTTTACACTACAAATCTTTCACAATCCCTGTGTACATTCAAAATATTTTTCTGCCTCGTGATTTTCTACTAGGAACTATCCTATACTACAATTTCTGTATAATTAAATCTTAGAAACTACCCACTTTCCTAATATACTCTATAATTAATATCATTTGTACTTCAAATCATCTTTAGACTACGAAATATTTCAACTTCCAGTTACACCAAACCTTTGCTACAATCAATATCACATACTTCCACGTACTTCTAACATACTCTTTAAATGAAATTATGAGACTATTATTAGGATAGTATAAACATACCTCGGGGTCTTCTTCCACTTCGACTATGGAGTTAAGATAAAGAATTGTTTGCGTCTTCTCGCAGGCGGATGGATCCGTTAGAAATGTGTCCGTTTTCTCCGGTTGAGGAATTTGACGAACGAGCATCGGAATCGCTTCGAATGCAAACAGTTGCAGAGCTAAAGGAAAACCGAAACATGCACTTGTTTGCTGCCTCAGACGGGCACGCATCTCATCCAACGGATCTTCATCTCCGTCTAAGAACTCATGAGGTAGCGGTATGAATCTCGAAATTGTCATCACGTACGATTCTCTACCCCACGGATAGTCTAGAAAATACTCAATATCGCAGAGAATATCGACATATGCCGGTGTGATATATAGAGCTTTGTCCCGACATAGGAGGACACCATCCACTAAGATTATGAGTGCTAATGGCAACCGTTTCCACTCCGCCACATCCGGTGCCTTTAACATTGCTATCGCATCATCGACTGTTACGCTGGAATCTTTCCTGTTGAACAGGTCTGTCCACATCTTTGACATCTCCCCCGGTTTGGTTTGAGGCTGCCCTGTTCCTTCTTCATCATCTTCGGATCTTGGAAACTTCCCGCATTTAAGACCAGTAACGCGCTTAAACTCCACCAACGAGAATCGGATAGGATTGCCTCCGAAAACGGTCCACAATTCATGCTTCTTTTTGGTCACGAGCTGGCGGCCGAGAAGCCCGTGAATCAATTTCGCAGAATTTTGACAACGTCCAACATGAAGATTTAGCAGACCACCAAACTGGGTTTCCTTAAGTTGCTCCAATTCTTCCTTGCATGTTAACGCGGCTACAACCTCCCCAATCACATGTGCCTTTGCGTAGATGTTGAGCCTGTTGATTCCACTAGGATAGCAATGAACAGGGAAGAGTCTCCGAGGCAATTTCTCGCGAAGAAGGACTCCCGCATCTTCTGCCACACCGTCCGCACCTACATCTATCACGATTACGGGTTCCAATCAGAAATTCGAAAATTGATAATTTCCAATTTGAAATTGGCAATTACGAATTGGCAATTAGAAATTTCCAATTATAAATTCGAAAATTGATTATTTCCAATTACAGTTTCCAAAAATCAATTTGCCCAAATTGATTAAACTGAATCTCGTTTCGCGATTCTAATACTTATATCTTCCTTAAGTCATCGGGAGTTATGAGCATCACCTTCACTGTCGGACCATAGTCGGTGCTGATGGACACGGCTTCTTGTACTTCTTCTACTTGTTGTACTTGTTCTACAATCCGCGAATTGCTTCGGAGGGTTCTACCCGACGGTGGAGCAGGGGCCTGCGGTGGCTTCTTTCGACCGCGGTTCGATTTCGTTCTCCCACCGACCATTATCGCTCGAGAAGTTTAACCTAATTTGGGTTTCGATGTTTGTAATCGGCGGTCGGTGGCCCTTGATTCTTTAAGTGGGTTCACCTCAAACTTCCCCGACACGGGCTTGACACTTGTCAAACCCGATACACGCATTACATGCCCGGTTTAGGTCGGAAAAAGGGGGCACACGGTTCGACCAATTCGCAATGTGAAAATGATTTTGGATCTGACCGGCGCGTCAACACCCTATAAATTTCCCCCTTTTTAATTACTAATATTCGATTTATCTGAATGGCAAGTTTGTAATATGTGCGACATTTCGTGGGCTTTCAATAGGGTGTCCACAGTGAAATACCCACTTTCCCAATTAAAACATGTTTGTACCTAGTCCCACAATTAGAAACATAGAAACTACCCATACAGCAAGTTTCTCTACAATTTAATAGCCTAATGCAAAAAAACATTTTGGGCCTTTCTAGTAGACATAATTTTTCTTTCCAAATGAGCATTTTTTTCTCAAAGAAAAATTGAAAAATTTAGAATTTTTCTCCGGTTATGGAATTTACCCACCTTGCCATAGGTAGTAGCCCGATCTGAATACATCTACGATGGTACTCTCTAGAAGATGATCTCCGGTTTCCATGTGAAAACACTAGTATATGATCCGACGCCCTATTACTAAGATCATACAAGGACTCAAGACAAAATATTTTGTTTTGTTGAATTTAATTTTATCTTATATTAATAGAAAAAAATGAAATATTGATATATTTTATTTCCAAAAAAAATTCTTTATAGAATAATATATACTTTAATTTTCGATATTAAGTAATATTCTTTTTTAAGATAAGGTCATTCAACAACACATAATATTTTTGTTTCATAATATACGAAGTTTTAAGGATTTTGTTTTGTTTCAGATTATATGATGTTTTCAACTTTCAATGCAAATATATTGTATTTTTGTTGTTTTAACTCTTTGAATTGTGCAGATTGTTTTCTTATTAGGGGTGTTGTTTTAAATGTTTTACTATAACATGCTTTAGTTTTGAAAAAAATGAATTTACAAACTATTTGCAAACTTCAAACACCCAAAACTTCATATATTATGAAACTTATATATATATATATATATATATATTATATAATTTGTTTATAGAACATTATATATCTTTTTCCAACAAAATACTGTACAGTTATTAAATATTAAAGAGCATCATCGCAAAGCTTCTCTTTCAAGTCATTGTCTACGCCATCTTGAAGGAGGGAAACCGCCGGATCTTCATTGAAACCTCCTCAAACGTAGCTTTTCTCCGCTATGTGGTTGACAGGACAATGCGCGATCGCCTTCTTTGTTTTTTTTTTCCGCTGTAAGAGCTCGTTCCCTTCTAGAATTGTATTGTTCTTTTCTTTAATTGTCTTTTTTAAGTTTTGTTATAATAAGTTGTTCAACAACAACAGTGTAATCTTTCAGAAAATGGTATAAATCTTAACATTCATACCCAAAAAAAAAGTTACAAAAATATTTTGTTGTTAAATGAAATGATTTCTTAGGTTAACAAAAAACAAATTGAAATGTATCGATATATTTTATTCCAAAATAAAATAACATATTTTTTTTTTCAACCGTATATAGTGTAGTTTTAAAAATAACGTCATTCAACAACAGAAAATAATTTAGAACACTCTATTTTATAAAAGTAAATAATAAAATTTAATGTGTTTCTTGAATATTATATACTTTTTCAACAATATATTGTATAGTTATCAAACAGTGGAGGTAAATGTAATCAACACTAATAGTTCTACAGTAAAACCTCTATAAAACAATAATGTTGGGACTTTGAAATTTTATTATCTTATAGAGTTATTATTTTATCGATAAAACAATAATTATTATTTTATCGATAAAACAATAATTATTATTTTATAGAAATATTCTATCAAAAACAAGAAACTTTATAGAAATATATTTTTTCAGATTTTTTATTCAAATTTTCCTTATACTTTGTTATTTACATATTTCATGCTCAGAAGTTCAAAGTCTATAAGAAATTATGTCTACTGTTCTTAATGGTGAAGATGAAGTTGAAGATGATGAGGAAGGACATGTGCAAGTAGTTACACGTAAGGATGCAATTGTGGCTTCGAGAACTCTTCACAACTTTTGGCTGCATGTTGAGAATACATATCCAATTTTCAGAAAATACAAACTACATTGGAGTCATATTTTACTAAATTGTCTTAGATATATATGCATTAGTTTTATAATTATTATCTTAGCTTATTGTTGGGACTATATTTTTACATAGGAGTTTCAAAAATATTATTGTCTTATCATCTTATCGCATTATGCTATTTTTTACATGGCCCGAGTTGGGACCGGAGAAAAATATTATCTTATAGTGTTTATTGTTTTATCGAGTATTGTTTTATAGAGGTTCTACTGTATTTGGTTAAACAATTTAAATAAAAGAGATTCTGATTATTTTTTGTCTTCCATCTCTCATTATCTGAAAAAGTTAATATAAATGATGATGGGAACTGGAAAGATCTCACACCCAACAACGGATATTACGCTAAGAAGAAGTCATCAGTGCAACTCAAGGAGAATCTCGAGAAGGAACTCAGAGTGTTGCTTCGCTTTCACAATCATCTACACATCGTTCAAGCTTTAAATGATTGCCGTCACTTAGAAACAGAACCCTAAGTATGCTACATCTATATATATAAAACTCTCCAGAAGATGATCTCCGGTTTCCACGTGAAAACACTAGTATATGATTCAACACCCTATTACTAAGATCAGACAAGGACTCAAGGCTCTGCACTCCAACGGTGACATTCACTGCTACATCAAACCAAGCAACGTGCTCTACTTCTCTTCCACCACTCTTGGCTATCCACGTGATACTAAAATATCTGACTTTGGTTAATCCAAAGAACGTATGTATATATGCCCCTTAATGGATCATGGTTTTTGAGCTTCTCTATAACGTTTACTTTTGAATTGTGTATCTAATTTTGATATATTGTTTTTATATCTACTAGCATCTAATTATTTATTACAACTGTATACTAACTTTTAACTAATATTTGTACCTGACATTGGTAACAAATTTTTACATATTATTTCTACCCACATATGTAGCAATGTTTACAATATTACATCCACTAACAGAATATTTTGTTTTGTTGAATTAAATCATATCTTATATTAATAGAAAATATGAAATATTTTGATATAGTTTATTTGAGAAAAAACTGTCTTTATAGAATAATATATACTCCCTCCGTTTCAAATTAGTTGTCATTCTGAGAAAATGTATCTGCAATTTTTTGTATGCATTAAACTCAAAACACATTTAGATACATCCAAAAAAATTCAGATACATTTTCAAAATTAAGTACTATATTTTTTTAAGATGATGTCAGTCAACAGCACATAATATTTTTGTTTCACAATATACAAATTTTTAGGAATTTTCTTTTGTTTCAGATTATATGATGTTTTCAACATTTAATGCAAAATTTATTGTATTTGTATTGTTTTTAACAATTTGAATTCTGCAGATTGTTTTCTTATTAGTTGGACTGTTTTGAAATTTATAATATAACATGTTTTAGTTTTGAAAAATACAAAATTTAATGAATTCTTAATCTATGTGCAAACTGCAAATACCTAAATCTTCATATATTAATGAATATGTTTATAGAATATTACTCCCTCTGTTTCATAATAAGTGGCATGTTAGAGTTATTTTTTTGTTTTAAAATAAGTTTCATTTTTAGTTTTCAATGCATAGTCTATATATATAAAGTTGGTGTGATTCTATTCTGGTGTTGCCACCTCATTCAAAGTGCATGCTTCTAAATTCACGGATTGGCCACATCAACACTTTATTTAATTTATTATATTTTCTCTTTTTAATATTTTAATTTCATAATAATTAGCATTCATTACTATAATAAATTTAACAAAAATATGAAAAGTCATTTAAAAGGAGAAATGTTATGTATAGATCTACAAAAACTATTATTTAGTAAATTTATTTTTGTTAGATTATATAATTTACGTTGATGTCAAGATATTATATAAAGAACACTGATTTTTTAAGTATTTTGGGATGAAATGACACGATACTAGACTGATGAGACGAAAAAAACATAACGAGAGAAGAAATGAATTTTGTCCACTTCTTATTATATTAAATGACGAGATGGATGTAAAGGAACGGAAAGGAATGGGATACCACATAATTTTGCCTACTTCAAATTATATTTAGAGACGGAATAGAAAAAAACGAAAGGAACATGATGAGACAGGACAAGACGGAAAGAAACATAATGAAACGGGATAAGACTGGACGGGACGAGACAGACAAATTAGACATGACGAGATGAAAAAAACGGAATGAGACGGGATTGGACGGGACGGATGAAAGGGACATAATGGGACGAGAAGGACGGGACATAAATTTCACCTACCCCTAATTATATTTAGGGACATGACAAAGACACGACAAAACGGGAAAAAAACATAACAAATAGGATGAGACTCGATAGGGCGGACATGACGGAACGGGACGGGAAAGAACGGGACAAGATGAGAAGGAATTAAATGGGACGGGATGGGACTATACGGGAATTTTGTCTATCCTTAGTTATATTTAGGAACGGGACGAGAAGAAACGGAAGGAACATGATGAGACATAACAAAATGGAAAGGAACATAATGGGATAGGATGGGCAGACAAGACGGGAAAGAACGGACATGATGAAAATGAACGAAATGGGATACGATGGGACAAGACGGTACGTTAATTTTGCCTAACCCTAATTATTTTTAATTAATATGTGTATATTTTTGAAACAATAATAAACCACATAAATAAATTAAATTGCGAAAAATAATAAAATTAATACAATAATATAAATTTCCGCGTGAAGCGCGGGTTACCTCCTAGTTTCATATAAATTTCTTGTTTTGACCTCGTCTATTTATTGAATAACAAAAAAGAAAATTATGTAATTCTAATATGTTTTCTTAATGTGTGAAAAAACCTTAAACGACACTTATTATGAAACGGAGGAAGTATATATCTTTTTCCAAAAATATATTGTATAGCTATTAAATATTATCTAATAGTGATGATATTAATAAAAATATAATTTAAGTCGAAAACCAAAACTTATGAGCTATTGATTTATTTTGAGGAAGACGGTTTATGGCATTTGCACATTCAAGAAAACCTGAAACTAAACTCATATTTTGATACTTCAATATATAATTCCTGCCATCAAACCACAACCAAACCAAACTGAGCCAGCTTCTATCATAAAATAAATTTTAAATTTTAAATATTTCATACATCAGCAAATTGATCATGTTGAAACACTTTTAGTCTATACAACTATGTCAAACGTATCACAAACAAACACTTTTAGCTCTCCAATTCAATTCGTCTTCAAAAGCTAAAGCTCATAACTCTTAGTTTCATATGTGGACTGATCCTCAGAAGTTTCAAATGTAGACTGATCCTCAGAACTTTCAAATGCAGACTTGTCCTCAGAAGTTCCATATGTAGACTGATCCTCAGATGTTCCATATGTAGACTTGTCCTCAGAAGTTTCAAATGTAGACTGATCCTCAGAAGTTCCATAACTAGACTGATCCACAATACTTTCACCAGATTGGTAAGTCTCAATGAAGAAGTGTACACCATTCACAACATCATAAACCATCAAACCAACCCTTGCGCCGATCCAATTCCCTAAATGACTCCCAACAAGATAACCAAACCGACCAAACCTCTGCTCACCAACATACCCTCCTGAGTAAGCACCAACCAAAGTCCCACACCCACGCAAGAACCCTTCAGTCAACGTCCCTCCAAAGTAAAGCGCCTCGAAGAAATCCCAACCGGACGCAACAATCGGTCCTATGATCCGTTTCGCTTGCCTTGTCGCAAGTTTAGCCGCTTTCTCGCCCGCTCTCTGCGCTTCTTTGGCCGTCTCCGTTGCAGCCATGCCTTTACCCAACGCCTCGTGCAAGGCTTTCTCGATGGCTACGTTTCGGGCTCTCTCGACGTGGATGGATCTTATGTTGTAGAAGTAGAGCTTCACGCCTTCTTTAACCGCGCAGGCTACGGTTCCTGAGCTCATGTCGAAGCAGTTCAAGAATGTAAACTGTCCACTCTTTGATGCAGCTTCTTCTCCAACAAGCTCTCTACATTTCTCAGCTGTTCAACATATGAACAAAGAGAACAAAAACAAATGAAAATTGTAACATTAGATTCTGAGAGACAGAGGTTCTGAGATTCAAGGGCTTTGTGAAATTTGAACATCAAACAGTAATTTCAAATAAAAATTGAGTCTTTGATAGAGAAGACATTGAGCTATGAAGTTGAAGCATCACAGCTGATTCAAAAGCCCCAAAATTTTACAAAATTAGATTAATCAGACCAAGAAGTCAACTTCTTTTTCTAAAACCCAGATAAAAAAATTGAAATTTTTTGGATTTGACAATCAAAGTTAAGATTTTTCAGTGCAAACGTAAGAGCCCAAATCGAGATCTCGAACATCAATTTAGCACAAGATCATGAGAAGAGCAAAAGGCGATAACTTTACACATACCGAAGCAAACCCATGAGTGATTTCAATTTCAATATGATTATCAAAACACCAAATCCGAAATTAGGGTTAAAGAAGATTGGAACAAATTTTTGGGGATAGAAAATCTCAAGTACCCGTCATACTGAGAACGACGATTCCGATAGCTAAAAACAGAAATTGAACTCTTCTGCTTCGGAAGTCCATGACGTGGCTGAAGAGTTTTTCGATCCCAAACTCTTTAACCGTAAACACCAATTCTCAATTTCTATTAGAAAAGAGAAAACGCTTTGAGTGTGACGAAGGATTAAGAGAAACCACAAGGCAGAGGGAAAGAATATTCAAAGTAATTGTGTGTTAGTGGATGTTTGACGGTTAGTAAATGAGACACAATCCCGGTTCAGTAAGAAATTAATTTGGTTTAATTAAAAAAACCCAAAAGTTGACCAAAATCAAACAAAATTAATTAAGTTTTCGAGAAAAATATTAGGGCATCTCCAACAAGCCCTCAAATCCTCAAATTTTGAGGTTTTGAGCATTCCAACAAACCCTCAAATCCTCAAATTTTGAGGTTTTGAATAGTGAAACCTTAAATTTGAGGTTTCACTATTCAAAACCTCAAAACTTATTTTCTCTTTCTATTTGGTCCTTATATTTATGGTTTTTCACAATTAGTTATACTAAACTTTAGTTTGAACAAAATTAAACATATAAAAATAAAATAGAATAAATGTTACCTAAAAACCAAAGTTCACTCAAAAGAAAATACATTTAAAAAGTTTACACAAAAATAAAAAATAGATTAAAGAAACTTAACACAAATTAAAGCAAATTACATAACACATAAATATTACATATTTTACAAATAGTACCAAAATATTTCATATTTTACATTATTATTATGTAATTTTTATTATTATATCACTATTATTGTGAAATATGGTGTGTTGTCTAATAGTATAATAAATAATTATATATCAAATGTGTTTTAAATTTATTTATGAATTTTTATTATCATTAGTAATGTTTGTTAATATTAAGGACTATATTGCAAATTAAACAACTTTTAAAGATTTTTTTGAGGATTCATTGTTGGAGCAAACTACCCTCAAATCCTTAAAATGAGGTTTTGCTCTCCTCAAATTTTGAGGGCTTGTTGGAGATGCCCTTATAAAGACAGGATTATATTAGATTTTAAGTAGAATGGTAGAATATAAAGTGTATATTATAAATGGGTAAAGACAGGATTAAAAGTAGTATTATTTAGGATATGAAAAATATGTGTGTTTTGAAAAATAATGTGAGTAACTAGTTTAAAGAAAATGGATTATTTAAGTAATACTTTAAATAAGATTTAAAAAAAATTATCGTTTTAGACATTGGAAAATTTAAAGAAAGAAGTGAAGGATAACTTTGAGAAATTTCTGCTGATATGAAATAAAATTTAAAGTTTAAAAACATTTTTTAAAAGACAATTTTTGAATTTTTAGTTATCCAAATAGGTAAAATATAATTTAGTTGTTAATATTTTTTAACCCAAGCTAGTTTCTAATGAGAGACGGTTAGCAAATAAGACCCGATCCCGGTTCAGTGTTAATTTAAGTCGGTTTAATTCGGCTTTGAAAAACGGATTGTCTCTTCCGAAGTTGCGAGGATTGAGATAGTTGAGAACCAAATCCAAAAGGAAACTCTCGTTCGATCTCTGATTGCGAAGTCTTGATCCTCAAATCACTCTCGCTTGAGAAAAAAATTAGGTCTTTTTGTCTGCTACGATTCTCTGTGCCTTGTCTGGGTTGCTTAAAGAAGCGTTTGGATTGGTGCGAAAACAGGTTTTAGGGTTTAGAATTAGGGAATTGAATAAGAAAAACAAAACAATGTCGTCTTCTTCGGTAATCACACCAGAAGACGTTCTCGAATCTCTTATGAACGACGGCACAATCGATGCCCTCCGATTGAAAATCATCAATCAGCTCAAAGCCAATGTAATTTCAAACGAACCCCTTTTCTTCTCCCAAACTAAAGTTTTGATTTTGGATATAAAGTTTTGATTTTTTTCGTTGCTGTTGCTCTTGTTGTGATTGTGAACAGGAAGAGTTAAAGAGCACAACCATTAAAATGGCAGAAGAGAGTAAAGTTCTGAACACACCTGGCGCTGAGAAACAGACTAAAAGAGAACTCTTTGATGCTCTTCGCCAAGAACTCGAGTAAACATTCTTCTCTAAGTAGTTATATACATATACAAAAACCTCTTCTCTATTGAATCTCTCTGTTTTACTTGCAAAAACTGAGCATATATTAGCATAATTCTACTTCACATTCTTAGCTATAGGCTCTACTTTAGGTAGTTCTGTGTTTGGTAAAGTAGTTGTAACATTAACATATGCAAAAGCCTCTTCTTTTATTGAATCTCTGTTTTACTTGCAAACTTCAAACATATTTTGATATCGGTTTCGCATAATTCTACTTCACATTCATAGCGTATAGGCCCATTCATGATAAGTAATGTTCTCAATTCCTCTGAGCTTCCTGTATGCATAGATAGACTAAAAGAGAACTTTTTGATGCTCTTCGCCAAGAACTTGAGTAACATTCTTCTCTACTTTCTCCTCCTACATTGATTCTGGTTAAGTAGTCCTGTATATGGTTTAAGTAGTTGTAACATATACAAAAACCTCTTCTCTATTGTCCCTCTTTTACTTACAAACTGTGAGCATATATCGCATAATTCTACTTCACTTTCATATCTTATAGGCCCATTCATGATAGGTAATGTTTTCAATTCCACAGAGCTTCATGTATGCATAGATTATAGTTTTCTGTTCTGAAGTTAACTATGTAGCATTTACTTGTTTCTTGTTGCCTTTGTTGGCATCAAAACCAGTTTTGGAATTGATTCTTGAGAAGGATAGGTTAGGGAAAGAGAGACTGGTTTTGTAGTTGTAAGCATATACAAAAATCGTCGTCTCTATTGATCCTCTGTTTACTTGCATAATTCTACTTCACATTCTTAGCTTAAAAGTTAATTTACAAACACAGATAGATAGTTTTGTGTTCTTGAGTATCGAGCTTGTTCGTCTCTGTTGTCATATTGTTTCGAGAAAGGTGTTTATGTTGTTTTCTTGATGCTTCTTGTGTGTAGAGGTCCAGTGCTAGAGAAGGCATCGAAATCAGTTTGGGAATTGATTCTTGAGAAGGAAGGTTTAGGCAAAGAGATCAACGAAACAGTAGAGCGTGTCTTCTGTCGTTTAAGCGGGAGAGAACCGCCTTTGTTTCCTTCTCCAAACGCAGAAGAAAACACAATGGTGATAGAGAAAGATACAGAGACAAAAGAGAACAATGATAGCTCGAAGACGAAACCAAAGAAAAGGAGTCTTAGTGAGGTGAATCCTTCTGAGAGTAATGATGAAGTTGCAACAGCAACGACGAAGAAGAAGCAAGGAGATTCCTCAGTTGTTAGTTTAGAATCTGGGAAAACGCCTTGAGATTGAATTGGTTATGACTTATGAGACATTGATCATTTTGTTGTGTTGTTGTGATCGAGTCTTTTCATCTGAATCTTGGTGTTTTATTGATGACAATTGTTGTTCTTCACATCTATCTAATATATAATGTGTAAAAGAAAAATATGTGTTACAATTGCGTTTAGTTTTGTTATTACAAACCGCTTTCAATTCAAAGCTAGATGAAGGATAAATTTGAAGAATATTCAACATTACATAATGCGTGCTACAAAATTGAAAAATAAAATCGAAAATAATGATGAAATTCTTGGAAATGTTTCACCAATAATTAAACCAGAGAAATCTAAAACCTGATTCATTTCACCCTTAACTCGATTGATTGCATTAGGAATTTAGGATCATTCGAGTAATACTCAAGCTGTTGGCTTAGAACTCTTGAGAATTCATCATTCATAGCATAAGGTTTTGCCGAATAAACAAATATCCAAAACTACAAAAAAAATCAGTTGAACAAAAACAATCCAGCAGAAGAATAGTATAATAACTCTCAGCAGAGCATGATAATTAGCAGAACGGTCAATTTACCAAAGCAAAAAGGCTAAAGAAGAACCTATAATTAGCATCCTCAAGTTTACTCTACCAAAATTATCAATATCAACATGACTACACAAATACGTATCTAACAAACAAGTCTATTTTCTAAAGTAGTTTCATATATTTCAATATGGCATTTTGGTAACTTAATTAACTCTTGAATATATATGGAATCTTAGTAAGTAATTCTAGATTTAGGAATTTATGGGTATTTATAAATACAAAGGCAACAAAAATTTACTGGTCCATCCACATTTAATTTCTTCCTACATCATATTGCTATTCAATTTTTTTTTTTGTATACTAATGGTAGGATGTTTGTAGAATAACTTAATTTAATTGTTAAAAATTGTTTTGTAGTTATCTTCGGACGTTATAAAAAAATGAAGTCAAAGTTAATGAAGCTTAGTTTGTTTCTTGAGTAAGTTTTAGTAAGGTATTGATGATGATATATTTTGCTGACTTTTATATTTTTTTGGTAATTTAATTATGTATGAAGAATCTTGTTTAACCTATAAATACATTCATATATCTTTCACATCAAAACATTCACAAGAAATAAAAATAATTAAAGTAACTCGTTCGCGCTACCTTTCAGTAATATCAATAAGTCTCTCTGATTCATCAAACACTGGTACTATACTAATTATTAGCTTTTATGATCAACAATCATGATTCCTTATTGCCTTCAAGTTCATAAAATATAGATTAAGATTTATTTTACTTTATAAAATTTATACATGTTTATTAATGGTAACCAAATAAGTTTCTTCTTTTTCTTTTGTTATCTTGTAGCCACACGGTTTTGTATTCTCGTGGCTTAAAGAGAGAAAGTTGGGAGTGAGTTGAGCGGGGATCAATCACATAAACAATATTTGGTGGCTTTATTGTGTTACAATCTTATATAAGAGATGGCGATTAATAAAGTTCCTAATGCATATCCTGAAATTTTAGGCACAAGTGAGAAAAAAAAATTATTGAATTTCTTTTATTTTCAGAAACATTTTTGTGTGATAATGTTTATTTTTTTACCGAGCAGTTGATACCTCAAAGAGTTATTTGTACGAAGAGTCATGGAAATCATGTGCTGGACCTTCCGATGATCTTCCAATAATTGGAGAAAAAGTTTATTACTTTCCTCAAGGAGAACTAGAACAAGTAAGGGCTCAATCTCTATGTCTTTCGATTTAATTTTCTCTTAAAAATTATAATTTGTTTTTGAAATAAACTATGCAATTTAATGGCATCTTTAGTTGGAAGAGTCTACAAATAAAAAAATGGATCATCTGAGGCAATTTAATGTCAATCTTCCGTCGAAGATTCCATGTCATGTTAGTGGTTATCAGCTTGAGGTAATGGCCTATTATTTACATACTAGGTAGGAGCCCGCGCAGTGCGTGGGATTGTGATCGTACATAGATTCTCTAAATGTGGTTTTAATTTTATTTTTGTAGATTTTTTTCAATTAAAATTACTAAATTTATTTTCGTAAATTACTATTTTTTTATAGATTCACAGCTAAATTACTAAAATATACATCATTCGTAATTATTTAGTGAGTTGTTTGGCTGGTTTTAAAGTTGATTAACTCACTGTTACTGTTACAGTTATTTATTTTAGAATTTTAATTAACTTTAACAAATTGGTAATAATGAAATTTTAATCTCATTTTTTTTTCTGTGGACAATGCAAATATTTAGTATAATTAAACATCTTCTAAATATATATGGAGTTAATGTTATTGTTTTGTGTGAAATTCTAGCGAATCCATGTACGATCTAGTAATATCACATTCTAAATATTCCATATGTATGATTTAATCAATTGCATGTAGGTTTAATTGCATATTTGTGTTGTTGGACATCATTTGCATAGTAAAATATCAAATACTTGTATCTTGTTTCTCTGAATGAAAAAAATGATTCATATATATTACATGAAATATTTACATATGTATGTATGAATTGAATATAATTTAATTGTGTATTTTATATATGAAATAAATATTCATATTACTATTCTAGGAGAAAATTAAGTTTTATATTTTTAATTAACTTTAATTTTCTTTTCTATTATTTTATTTTGCTTAGAATTTAATTAACTGTTACAAATTGGTAGTTATGACTTATGAGCATTTAATTTAATTAATTGTTTTTCTGAGGTTATGGGAGAAAATGTTTAAAATAAATGAGGTAATAATAATAATTATTATTTTGTGTGAAACTCAAATTGTAAATGTATGAATTAATTAATCTGATAATTTATTTTCGCTAGATATCATTTAAATAGTAAAATATCAAATACTGTTATATTCTTTGTCTTAAAATAATATACATATATATATATTTGCTTTATTAAATATGTGTGAAAAGATTTTTCTATCTATGATTTAATTATTTTATGTGGTGTTAATTGTATATTTTTATTTGACGTCATTTGATAGTAAAATATCAAATTATTTACATATTGTTTTTGTTTAAGAAAATAGATTTATATATATTGCATCTACATATGTTTGTATGAATTAAAAATATTGTTTGATTGTTTATTTTATATTAAGTAAATATTTGCTTGATAAAAAAACTTAACTTGAAAAGTTATTGATGTTAAATTGAAAAAAAAAAACACTTATAAAAAATGTAGAGTGACACATGGCAGCCTCTCAGAGAGTGAGAAAGAGTGTAACCCTATAATATTAGAATAGAAGATAGATGAGCTACATTTGCTTAGATTGCATATAATATTGGTTATATTGTTGCTGATTTTTGTATTCAATTTTAGGTGGAAAAAGATACTGATGAAGTATACACCAAGATTACTTTGATGCCGGACTCCATGGTGATGACAAAATTCAAAATATTATTTTTAAATTACTTGCACATTTTTTAATCCCTTTTAAATGTTTTTTTTTTAATTTGCAATATCTAGAAAACTGCAATTCCTATTCCCAATAATGTCAACCGTCGATTGCCAGTAGTTCGTTCTTTCACAAAGGTCTTAACTACATCAGATACAAACGGACATAGTGGATTATCTGTGCTGAGAAGACATGCAACTGAATGTCTTCCTCCGCTGGTATATGCACTTTGTTTTTAATCGAATAAACTCATATTTCATTTTTCAAGCTTCCATATGACTTTTATTGATTTTTTTTTTTAGGATATGTCACAATCAACACCGACTCAAGAGCTAGTCGCTAAAGATCTCAATGGTTATGAATGGAGATTCAAACATATTTTTAGAGGCAATGAATCATTTATCTGATCAGTCCATTTAAAAAATAATAATAATGAAAATGATACTTTTGTATGTGTTTACTAATATTTGGTCTTCTATTTGTATGGAAACAATCTCATGCAGGCACACCCCAAAGACATTTGTTCACACAGGCTGGAATGTGTTTACAGCAAAAAAATTAGTCGCCGGAGACGCTGTTGTATTTCTTCGGTAAATTTAATGGTTTTACTTCTCTCTTTTCTTTTTTACTAGATTACAGACTTAAACTTATTTTTTTTAGAGGAGAGAATGGGGAATTACGAGTTGGTATCAGAAGAGCTGTGCATAAACAAAACAACATAGCTTCATCAACAGTTTCAATAGATACTATGTACCATGGAATAATTTCTACTGCAAAGAATGCTATTAATTCCCCTTGTATGTTCACTGTGGTCTATAAGCCAAGGTAAATAAAAACATTTTGTTATTTATAGATATAACATGGAATTAGTTTCTTCAATCATTGTGCTTACTATTATGGATCTTGATATGATATTAGGTCAAGCCAATTTGTCATCAGCTACGAAAAATATCTAGATGCTGTGAACAATAAGGTCAATGTTGGCTCGAGATTTAAAATGCGTTTTGAGGGTGAAGATTTAATTGAAAGAAGGTAAACCATATGAACATATTTTCTTTTTGTTCTTCTTTTCTTTTGGTTTGTTATCTAAAATTTTTTTATTATTTTATTATAAAAGATGCTTTGGGACAATTAAGGATGTCAAAGATTACTCCCCTAATTGGAATGATTCAAAATGGCGATCAGTTGAAGTAAAATTCTCCTATCTCTACTTTTTTTTACTTTTCCAATCATAATAAATAACAAATCACCAACTCTGTTTTACTAGGTACAATGGGAAGAACAAGCCGTAATTCCAAGATCTAACAAGATTTCACCTTGGGAAATCGAGGATTTATTGCCTTCAACAAGTGTTTTCCAATCAGTTTGCTAAAAAACAAACGTCCCCGTCAAGATAATGAAATTGGTACAACACATCATAATCTTTTGTTAAATGAGTTAAAGCTTTGAAATCTTTCATATTATAATTCTAAACTTCCTTATAAAAAAATTTTTGCATTATAATTCTATTTATAGGTTCAACATCGTTGAATCTATGGACTCCTACATTAACTCAAGGCCAAGAAATTGGACAATCGAGTAAGAGCTACCCAATAAGTGTTGCTCAGCTTAGTTATGATAACTCAACTGAAGATCCAAAGATTCCTTCTGGTTGGCTAATGAGCAGCTGCGAGGTCCCAACCATGCATAAACCAAAATACAACGACCAACTGATTATATCAGTGAAAGAAATTTAGCCACTGATTTAACCACTAGTTGTAGATTGTTTGGAGTCAATTTGACGACTCCTTTGAAGACCAAAGATCTCTTGGGAGGAATTGACTCATACCAAAAATCTGAGATTTCCAAACTCTCTGAAGAAAAAAAGCATGAACAGAACCAGACTATAGCTTCATCAAAGGAGGTCCAAACCAAACAAATTAATTAATCCCGAAGTCGTACCAAGGTAAGGAAAATCAGCATGTTTTTACTGTTTACATACGACTCGATTATAGTATCATTTTACTATATACATACAGCCGATGAAAAACTTAATTTACATTTACTATTTTTCATTTATATATAGTGGGAATTTATTTTTTATAATTTAATAAGAACTTTCATACATTTACTAAATAGATTTAGATGCTATCTTTCTATATGTGTTTATTTAACAGGTGCAGATGCATGGTCTAAGTCTATGCAGAGCGATAGATTTAACTGTTCTTGATGGATACAATGCGTTGATGAAAGAATTGGACAAACTCTTTGATCTCAAAGGCGAGCTGTGTGCCGGCCATTTATGGGAAATAGTCTATATAGACAATGAAGGAGATATGATGCTAGTCGGGAACGATCCATGGCCGTAAGTTCCCCCTCTCCCTCTTCTTTCCCCTAATGACTGGCTAAGTTTGGAAATGAGTATTTGACTTCGATTTTTGTGTAGTGAGTTCTGCAACATGGTGAAGAAACTAATCTTATGTTCAAAAGAGGAGGTTAAGAAAATGAAGTCAACAAACGATTCTTCTAAAGGTGAATCAACTTTAAGAACGTTGATTTTTAATACATTATGACATACCACTATATCAAAACAAATATTTAGTTCTCCAACTAATTTTATATATTTCTTACTTATTGCTGATGTGATTTTTTTTGTTTTGTGTTATATTTTAGGTGTTTAATTATGAGCAAGTTATGTCAAGAGAATAAGGGAAGATGGAAACAAGGATTTACAAATGTTTGAGTTATATCAATGGGGAAAAGAGAGTCAATAATGGAAGAGAATGTTTGGTAAATGTTTTATTTTGTTCGTGTGTTTTAAAAAAAATGGTAACAAGTGTCTTCTTTGTGTTATGGGTGTTTGAGTGTCTTCTTTTGTCTTTTTTTACATATTTGTCGTTAATGTTGTATGTGTCTGTTGTTTAAAAAAAAAAAATGTATGTGTCTGTAATGTGTATTCACCTTTTTAAATTATATTTAAAAACTCCCCTTTTGTCGCATTACTATGCTTTCTTCTTTTATTATAGTATCTTGTTGATTTTTTTTAATTTATATTTAAGCATCTATTATCGTCTTTTGAAAAAAAAAAATCAAACAAATACATTACTGTGAACGCAATTAATCGTTACTAATAATATAAATTACTCTTTTACAAACTCATGCCTATTAGGGGATGTGCCTTTAGTTTTTTTTTTTTTTTTTCTTTGTAAATGAGAAAGAATGAGAGAGGAATAAACATTACTTATAAATGATGTAGTTTTTTGTTCCCCATCATTCTCATGGTCACCAATGAAAGTCTACATGATTTTTGGCATTCTGAAACTCCATCTCCATGCAGGCCCGGTGCCAAGGGCGCATTTGCTCAGGGTCCAAATTTTTGTGTGAAAATTTATGTTACATTTTAAGGTATTTGCAAGAATTTTAAGATCCTGTTTGCAAATTTAAATTGTTCATATGGTTCTGTTTGTAATTTTTGTAAAATCTAAATTATTGCATTGGGCCTACGAAATTAATGAGCCGTGTCTCCATGAACCACAAAAGTATATTCAAGTCAAGGAACAATGCATTGGTTAGCCTAATAAAGTCATCACCAACACAAGTTGGGTTTGATTACCTCAAACATCTAAGACTTTCTTCATGATCTCCAATGACTATAGACATTTGGTGCAAGTTTTTCATCTTCCTTCCAAGCACATATATTGTGACGTCAATGAATCAAAAATAGCATTAATTCCACAAAAAATCGCATGTGTTGCTTATGTCCTTTGTCATATACCATGACATATTACATATCACAAAAATTACAAAAATCATAATTTTAATGACACAGTAACAAATATGAGAAGTTTGAGAAATGTTAATTTGGATAATATTTGGTTATGTTCAGCTTTATATAATTATAAATATGTTCAGCTTTATATAATTATAATAACTATATGTCAAATATTTTCAAAACAACAAATTCATTTCATTATTAATAAATTTACTTACATTTTCTTAATTAAAACTCTATCATACATTATTACCATTACAGAAAAAAATATTTAAAAAGAAATAAAATAAATTAACAAAAATAAGCATAATATAAGCAAAACATATGTAAATAATAAGCAAATATAAGAAAATGAAGAAAAAAAACATTCTGTTTTTCTAATACATATTTTTAAAGTTATTATCTGAATATTTATGTTACTTCATTTGATTTCATCATAGTTGTTAACTTTGTATTTATCCGGCCCAAACTAAATGTCTAAACTGGGTTTGACCGCATATATAAATTAGATTGTTTTGTATCACAATTTGTTGATCCCTTATGGTTTTGTAGATATATAATGTTTAGGAATATATCAAGCTTGTCTATGCAACAATCGGAATTAGCACCGTTCGACGGATTGCATGCGAGAAAATTACAACGGCGCCCGTGATCATCTTCACATTTGGAAAAGTGACATATCCCCTTACTCCAGAACAGTTAATATCAAATTTCTTTATACTTTGAGATTATTTTTAGGCCTTTAATTACTTGACATCTATATATAAAGTTTAAGTCAATCTCTTCTCATGATGACACATCTTCAAACTCCTAACTGTAACACATCATCATTTGATTTTTTTTTTTTTGAATTTATCATATTTTCTCTTCTTATATTTTATTTATTTAAGATCATTCATTAATATGATCATCACATAATATAATAGTTTTTGCAAGAATTTGAAAATTCATTTTTATAAAAGAAAAGAAATGTTATGTATAAATCTTAAAAACTATTATTTAGTAATAAATTAATAGTAATAATAATAAAAATATATTATACAAAGAACACTTCTTTTTTTAGTATTTTGGGATGAAATGAGACGAGATCGAATATGACGAAACGAACAAAAATAGAACCGGAAAAAAGGAGAATTTTGTTTACTTCTTATGCTATTAAGTGACAAGAAGAGATCTAAAGGAATGGAAAAGAATGGGATAGGACAAGATGAAAATTTCGCCTACCTCTAATTATATTTAGGGGTGGAACAGAAAAAACGAAAAAAACATGATGAGAGAGGACAAAATAGAAATGTTGGACGAGACATAATGAAAAGAAATGGAATATGACGGGATTGGACGGGACGTGATGAAAAAGGACATAATGGGTCGGGAAGGGATGGGACAAGAGTTTTGCCTACCCCTAATTATATTTAGAGACAAGGCAGAGACAAGACAAAATGGAAAGGAACATAATAGGATATGATGAAACTGGATGGGGCAGATAGAACTAAGGGACGGGAAAGAACGAGACAAGATGGAAATGAACAGAATGGGACAGAATAATGTCTACCCTAATTATATTTAGGGAACAAGGCGAGAATAAACGAAATGGGACATAACAAATATAAAGAATCACAATGAGATAGGATGAGACTGGACGGGACAGGACATACAGGACGGACAGGACAAGAAATAACGTACATGATGATAATGAACGAAATGGGACGAGATGGAACAAGACAATACAATTTTTTTGCCTAACTATAATTATATTTAAGTAATATGTGTAATATATTTGAAACAATAGTATTAAATTTGCGGAAAAGCAATAAAACTAACACAACCGCGTGAAGCGTGGATCACCCCTTAGTTTTTTTAATAAGTACATATCCAAACAACTAATTAATGTAGAAGAACATGCAATCTTCGTTTTGTGAAGAGTACCGCTGATGATGACATATCATTTTTTCTTGGAAAAATATCTAAGCCATATCAAACCTAATAAAGAACTGTATATAGTTTTTGAAAGTCGAGAACCAAGTGAACCTGAAAAAGTGAAAAGATCGGTTGAATATTAAACTTTGTAAAATGTATAGTTTAAGGATACCTCATGCCCATGAGCATAACTTGCGGTGTCACATGATGTCCAAACATTCAAATTGACGCTGTGTTACCTTCGTCGTCATTGATGCCCCACCGTTGTTTTCTCGATAATTGTTAAACCTCCACTGTTACTTGAGCCTTGAGGCCTAAGGTTCTGTTGATAATTGTTGCTTCAGCTCCAAGCATCCTCTCTCCACTTAGCATTGTCGTCGCTGTAAGTTGGTTTCATCCAAGATGAGATACGTTATGACCCACTGGTTCTTGTTTGGCCGATAGTAACGTGTACGTAGGAAATGTGTCATGTTGTCGTGCTATCTTCATTGGTTGCACCAAGAGGACAACAAGGAAGATAGTGCTTGGCCGGTGTAAACGGATGTTAACATGTTGAGAACCTCTTGACAGTTCGGTGATCTCACGAGTTAGAACGCATGAAGGTCCTCAGCATGTTAATGTACCTCGTACAGCTGTCCAAAACAAAGAGAATCTTGCGTCAGGCCCTAGAATACAAGATGAGAAGCTAAAGAGCACAACCGTTAAAATGGCGGAAGAGAGGAAAGTTCTGAACACACCTGGCCCTGAGAAACAGACTAAAAGAGAACTCTTTGATGCTCTTCGCCAAGAACTCGAGTTACAACATTCTTCTCTACTCTACTCTCTCCTCCTACACTGATTCTGGTTTAAGTAGTTGTATACATATACAAAAACCTCTTCTTTATTGAATCTCTGTTTTACTTGCAAACACTGAGCATATATTTTTTCTTTTTTTTCTTTTTTTTTTTTTGGTTTTAAAATATAAATTTCGCCGACTGAGGGGATCGAACCCTCAACCACGGGATTAAAAGCCACGCGCTCTACCACTGAGCTAAGTCGGCTTTGACAACACGGAGCATATATATCATAACTCTACTTCACATTCTTAGCTTATAGGCTCTACTTTAGGTAGTTCTGTGTTTGGTTAAGTAGTTGTAACATTAACATATGCAAAAAGGCCTCTTCTTTATTGAATCTCTGTTTGCAATAGCTCGAAGACGAAATGAAAGAAAAGGAGTCTTAGTGAGGTGAATCCTTCTGAGTGTATATTGATGAAGTTGCAACGGGGAAGAAAAAGCAAGGAGATTCCTCAGTTAGTTTAGATTCTGGGAAAACGCCTTGAGATAGAGACATTGATCAATTCGGTCTGTTTTTGTGATTCAGTCTTTTGATCTAAATCTTGGTGTTTTATTGATGATCATTGTTGTTCTTCCTATCTATCTATATACTCCCTCTGTTTCAGAAAACTTGATGTTTTAGAAAAAAAACTTGTTTCATAAAACTTGATATTGTAGCCTTATTTACTACACTTTTTATGGGAAATTGTTTAACTTTTAGATGAAAGAAATTGGAGAGAGTAGATTATTAGGTCTTTGATAAAAATCAAGTGTTTTTTACACAGATAAAAGAAAAATAGTAAATATATAAAAGTGTTTCTTAATATGTGTGTTTTTTCTAAAACATCAAGTTTTTTGAAATAGAGGGACTAATATGTAAAAGGAAAAGATGTGTTACACCTTTTTGTTGCGTTTAGTTTTGTTATTACAGACCATTTTTAATTCAAAGCTAAATTGTATTGCATCTACAAATAAAACATAGTACTAAAGATTTTCCATGAATTCTGAAAGAGTTCTTAACCTAAACTTATATTCTTGTTTTAAATTTTGAGGATAAATTTGCAAAATCTTCAACACTATTTTTTGCTCGCATACATAAGGTTAGTATAAGATTCAAATCATGTATGCGACAAAATTGAGTTTTAGGGAAAAATAAAGTCGAAAATAATAATGAAATTTTTGGAAATCAACACAACAAAAACCTTTGTTTCTCTCTAGGTGATAACAACTCAGCATTTTCGAGCATTCTGAAGTTGACACCAGAAAAACAGGAACATTTTAAAAAATCAGAGTCAGCAGTATTTCGGTTTGCTTACACGATTTTATTCGGTTTCGATTTATTGATTTTCTTCGACCACCGGTTACGTTTCCCTCGTCTGATTTTATTCGACCGACCGGATTCAATCAGGTTTCTTCTCCGACGCCACTCCATATCACGCTGAGAAATGATCTCGCCATCGAATGAATGGCCGTCAAGGAGCCTTCTTCAACCCCTTCACTTGCCTCTGTGATATGCCTGTCGCTTGCGTACTCGAATACGCTCTCAAGCTACAACGTGCAGGTGTTCATCGAAACCGTCGTTGTTCATGAAATCGTCGTTGTTCGTCGAAACCGTCGTTGTTCACAAACTTCGAAATTAACCTTCTCCATCTCTCTCAAGCAGGTTCCCATCCTCAATCACTATCTACATAGCTGTCTCTCTGCTTATGTGTATAGGTGTGTGCATATGTATGTCCATGTTGATTGATATAAGACATAAAGTTACAGTTTTTGTTGAGTACTTTCAAATTCTAAAGAAAATTGGATGACTGAATTTGACTATAGTTGTGATTAAAAGCTGAATCTCATCTAATAATTGAGAGTTAAGATATTGGAATTCTGGTTCAGAAGGACGAGTTGGTTCAAAAAGCTAAATCTCTTTTTTTTTGGTTTTCTCTTATGATTATGCAGATGAAGCTAGCAACGAAGAGTATTTATAATTTGTCTGATGTGGAAGAAGATATTTATGAAGATGGTGCTCTTCGTGGTTCTTCTTTTAAGGATGATTATGATTATGGAGCATTGTGAGATGAAGATCTTCAAGAGTGTGTTTTCTTGATAATGCTTTTCGAAATTTAACAAGCTTATATTATCTTGACGAAGCTAATATTGTCTAACCATTTTATGTAATAAGACTAAAGCATCTAAACAAGAAACAGAACGCATGAATAATCTTAAGAGGGAGAGGTAAGAAGAGATCTCGTAGCTAGATTGTATGTGATGTGTAACTTACTGTGATGGCAGAGGCATAAGAGCAAGAATGAAGTCATGGCAGAGATCATCATGAAGAGCAAACTTGGCAAGGTGATTATTCCACTGTTTTTTCCTTTGCAGCATTTTCTTTGGCATGGCGTGTAAATTTGTTTTTATTTTTGTGATTTTTCTAGATGGAGAAAACTAAGAAGACGGAAGAAAGGGCGAGGCTGATGGATGAGCTGGATAAGGACTTCAAGTCCTTAGAAAATTCTCATGCGATGGCGAGATTAACTCAAGAATTTGACCTCCTAGAGGTGAATGATGAACACATTTTGCAGTTGTTTGCATACTGAGAATCTGTGTCTATGCTACGGGTGTGTTACTATATGCTTGATTGATAACGTGCTATGTGGTTTTAGGTATTCAAAAATGAAATGGTACAACACTAAGAGACAAGTTCGGATGAATATGAAGGGCTTTGATTTGATAGAATTAATGCCTAAGCTTGATAGTTGTGGTTGTGTTCATATGTCGGAATACGGTGGGAAGTTGGCTGTTTTCTGGACCAATGATTTCTGTGTTAGTAGATTTGAGAAAACGAGGATTTGGTGTGCGGTGATTGCACTTGAAAAACGCAATGGTGATGATGATGATGAGGAGATTTGGGGAACGGTCGAATGGCTTGATCCTCTTCTTACGGTTCCTGAATCCGAAAATTCAACTAGTTTTGGAGCATATACGAATCTGATTATTAATCAAATATTAATATTTTATATACATGGAAAAAATCTCTTTTTACTAAGTCGCATGCATTTGTATTTGTGGTGTTTCTCACTTGCTAATTATTTTAACTAATTGTACATCAAATAACAACGATTGGTATCAATCAAACTTTAGATTTTAAAAACTTCAAACCTTTTTCCTAGACGAACAAAAAATTAAGTAGAAAATTGAAGTGCTTAAGACGGAAGTGGATAAACATTTCCACTTGGTTAGGTGAGAACCACAAAATGAGTTTCTTTATAATCGGCTTAGAGTAGTACTACTATGTTTTGTGATGGGGCAAATCAAGTACCCTTCCATATGTGGATAGCTATTAATCATGCTTTATTTGATATTTAATTATGACAATGATGAAGTTGTAAGTTAATAAGATTTCTGACTAGTCTTGGTTCAAAAAAAGAAAAAGAAGCCAAAGAATCCATGGAGTCATGGAGACGTTAGTTTCCCCATCCCTCAGTACCTTGGCATGCACTTTCCCGAACAAATAATCTAAATGCATGAACATTAATATAAACGAAGAAACATCCGATCAATTAAGGCTTTACTAATAAGTAAATTCTGATTTTCAGATTCAATGAATACATCCTTTAGATTTTCAGAGTATTCTATAATTTGTGAATAATTTTATAAAATTTTACCCAAAGAGTATTGGCATTCTAATTATAACTTGTATAATTAGTGAGTACTTTCAACTATATATTTTTGCATTATATCATAGTTTTATGCTACCAACTTTCTTTGTTTATTCACCGCTACATGGAGCCGACTCTGTTTCCCTGCCATCGTTCTTCGCTAGATCCGTTTCTCCATATATTAGAAATTTTCAGATATTTAATACTTCCTCTGTTTCCAAATATAGAGGGTTTAAGACTTCTTTTTCATAATATAAAGTGTTTTCAACTTTTTGGTTGCTTTTTACTTTATTAATTATGCATATTGTTTTTTCATTGGTTGAATTATTTTGGAATTGATGATAAAACATGCTTTATTTTGAAAACTTAAAAATTAAATGAATTCTTAATTCTTGTGTCCAACTCTAAAACTCCTTATAATATGAAACAGAGAGAATAGTGATTAAAATGGGAAGTGGAAGGAAAATAGTTTTAAAGTAATATAGTGATTTTAAATACAATGAGTGAAATGTTTAAAGTTGTTAATTGATAGGAAAATGAAAAGTTATTAATCTAAATTTAAATTAGTTAATTGAAAGGAAAATGAAAAGTCATGACACATGTCAATTATTAGTGTGTCCACATGTCCAAATTTTGGAGAGAATTGGCCTCTTTATTTATGACACTTTGAAGATCATCAAATGAGCCTAGGGAATAAAATAAGCTAATGCGACTAAGCGATATTGTTTCATACACAACTTTGTGTATTGCGCTTGCATTTACATGACTTGAAATACGTAAAATTTTTGCTCAATATTCTGATTTTGCAAATCTGAGATGCCTAGACTGATCTCTGCAACAATTGCATCAATCATCAATAACAACACTTTTTAAATCTGGGGAACTGTATACTCACAAAACTTATAAATTGATTCAAGATCAATATGGTCTATGTTCTGATTATGTATATAATGTTTCAATTTTTTTTTTTCTTTTTCTAATTTTTAAAATTATATTTAAGATTTACTTATTTACTAGACTTATTTAGCAGACTTTTCAGAGTTAAATAGGTTTTTAAACTAATTTATTTTTGATCTGTTAAATTAACTCATTTGGATGAACTATTTTTTGTAGATGCAAAAAATATATGTTTTGTTAATGTAAACAAGAATTTTATAAAATTAATTTTTATAAATTTTATTATTAAAGTATTCCGAACTAGACTTCTTTCAAAGTCTATACTGAGCAGACTTTGTTATGGATTAAGATCGTTATTATAGTGAATTGTGAACAAAGCTGATTTTTGCGCTTTGATCAGCAAACTCGCAGACCCGTCATAGGTTAACCCGTTAACTCATTAACCCATGCGATCCAGACTGTGAGGCCTGCTACTTAATGGACTTGAAATATTTTGATACAGCCCGCCCCGTGGGGGACCTTTTTGGGCCGAACCCGCCAGCCTGAGCCTGGATTGACATCCCTAAGACAAACTTTGGTTTTGTAACAATTAAGATTTACACTTTCTCTTTTTTTTTGTCATCTTGAATTATATTAGAATGAAGTAGCTAGATGGTGTTACACACCTCACCAAACTTACAATGCCCAAAGACGGGAATCTAAGCCGGCGGACAGAGGTTTTAAATCCCCGGAAATAAGTCGAGAGGACAATAACATCCACCGGAAACAGAGCCCACATATGGGAAACCAACAAGAAATATACTAGAGAAAAATACAATTGCCATAAAGCTCAAACCTATAACACCGAATCTAAAAAAGAGAACTTCTTCTCCTTTGTCCTCTCTAGGGAATAGTAGACTTCAGAAATGAAAATACCGAAAGCAGCAAAGACCGACAAGGCGCAACCATCCATTTGTTGAGCAGCCTAAGAGAAGCCGGAGCCGGTTGTTGCAGAGTCGAGACGACAAAACACCGGTTTGCAGAGCGAACGGAACCCAAACAGATCTCGACCAGATCCGTCGGTAGTATCTAGTGGAGGAGACGAAAAATCGCCGCCAGAACCGCCTCTGCGGAGAGGATGGTCGATTCGGAATGTGGCCAAAAATTAGATCCGGCGAAGAGGCGAAACATCTACAGCAATCGAAAAAAACCCATAAGAAACAACCCAGAAGCAAAAGAGATCTTCAAAACCTTTTAAATCCGGAATAGAAAAAATCTAGGTCTAGATCTAGAATCTAATCTATTGTCGCCGTAAAAGAAAAAGGCTAGGGAACGAAGATCTAAACCGATTAAAACTCAAAACTAAGACAAAACACAAAAGAGCCAAGACGCCGTGGGTGTGGAAGCCCACCGGCGCCGGCCAAACAGAGAAACCGCAAGAAGACGACGAAGAGAGAAGGGAGAGGAAAAGTTTTTTAAATTAGGTTCGATATAGACTTTACTTTTTTGTGATTTACACTTTCTCTATATACGTGATATATTACAGTCATACCAAAAATGACTTTCCACGTGGTGGACTTTGTCTCATTGAAATAAAACCCATGTCCTCGGTTAACCTTCCCTCGAGTTTTAATATTTCACCATGATTTACTGTAATTTTTCATTCCACATTTCATCTCCCCGTTCAATCAATACCCTTAAGTCCACCGCTAGAGAATAACCTTCACTCTATTCCGACGATGTGGGCTCCTTCAATACATAGCAGATTTTGCCTATTCAAATTGATTTTCTCTAAATCTAACATAAATATGGAAGGTATCAAATTTTGTTCACTCCTTCATTGTCCACCACATGTACAACCATAGTATTTTGGTTAATTTAGAATATTTGACACTTCAGTTTCTCCCTATATCATTTTCTCTAAATTTCTTTCCCCGTTTCCACGAATTGCTTTTTTTTTTTACGAATTAAAACTCATGTTTCAGTCTTCCTGTTTTATTAGGCTGTTTTAGGATTATGTTCTCACACTTACACTTAGACCCGACTCTAAAAGTGTGGTAGGAATGCAAAAGCACATTATCTTCAAATACGTTTCATTAAGATTTAGGGTCCACAATATATTTTTCAAAAATCAATGTTTAACAAATAAACATAGGCGGCTGGAAATAATATACAGAAAATTAGGTTTAGCATTACAAAAAAAAAAGAATAAGATGAATCAAACACTAATAAGATTATTGTGGTAATTTGGTTAGTGTGAAAAGAGAGGGTGCAGTTTTGAGGCCAAAAGGTAGGACGCTCCACTGAAGATGCCAATTGGGTAGGCAGAAAGCTGTTTTGTATCTTTCGTCAGGGTGGATGCCAAGTTGCCAGAAGCCCGATTTTAGGTTAAATTTTGAAAATATCGTCGCCCCTTGGAGATGTTGTAGAAGGGCCTTCTTGTTTGGTAATGGGAATTTTATATCCTGAAGATATTGGTTTAGAGGCTTGTAGTCGATGACCAGTCTGAGTTTACCCCTAGCTTGTTCTGCACGGTTGTTGACATAAAATGCCTTGCACGCCCATGGCGAGTTTGTTGATGAAACGATTCCTTGGCCCACCAATTGGTCACATTCTTCATTTGCCTGTTGTAGGAGAGTAGGCGGCATTCCTGCATGACTTGCTCTCGTGGGTGTTGTATGTACGTTTTCTTTGAAAGGCAATGTGACGAAGAACTCCGAGTTTAGCCATAATGGATTTTTGCACTTTTGAAGGAAATCCGTATGGGAGTCGGCACAAGAGATTATCGTGATTTCTTCTTTGATTTTTTTCGAAATCTCCATGATCATAACCCGGTGGTGTTTCTTTGATAGGGAACAGGCGAGGTATCGCTGTAAACGCCTTGTAAAGGGACTTCCACTTCATGCCTCGTGGTTCGAGTGAAATATCGAAATTTTTCTTTAGTGCATAATATGTATCCCACCCTAGTACCAGATCTTTTCCTGGTGCAGATGATCCCAGGACTTCGGTTGTGATTTGGCATCCGGGGAAGAGTTCAATTGTTATCGGTTTTGACTTGAGCTTGACTGTGAGGGAACCCGAGTTTGCAACCCTGAACTCTTGTTGGTGCGGCAGCCACATGGATTTAGGAAGAATTTTTGGGTTCATGATGGATGTATAAGCATATGTGTCAATAAACGCGATCGCATGAACTGGGCCTTCTTTTTCCGAGGGATCAAAGATCGTGACCGGTAAATGAGGCGTTTGGATTTCATCCTTCTTTGGTATTTGTGTAATTTTAAAGCAGCATTCATCTTCGTTTTCGCCATCGGAGGACTCTGATGAATAGTCGTACTCCGAATATTCACATAAAGCGTCCTTGTCATCGCTGTCGTATGATAATACCGACTCGAGATCATGGTTGTCGATATCGATATCCGGAGCTATATTTGAGATAGAGTTGATGAGATATTGCTTCTTCTTTCTTGATCTGTTGGGGCAGTTCTTTGCGAAATGTCCTTCTTTGTGGCATAGGAAGCACTTTGTTGTTTTCTCAAAACTTCGCTTTTTTCTGAGGAATCCTTTGCGTCGAAATCTGTTGAAGCGCCGCTGAAATGGCTTCTTATAACTTGAATGTTTGTTTCGATTATCGCATGAACAACTCTTTTTTTATTTTGAGCACTTGATAGATAGGTCCGGCCTTGCACATATCTTCGAAAGATGCTTTGATTTGTTCATGAATTCTGTCCAGAACTTCTTCTGTTTGCACAGCTTGTCAAGTGTTCGGAAAACGTATTGCTGAATCTGTCCAATGGAAATTTCTTCAACTGTTTGGCCTTGATCTCTGATGTATAACTTAGTTTGTTGGCTCAGATATTCATCGATAGACGAAAGATAGACTTGCTTCAGGCTTGGGTTATTAAGACCGTCGAGCGTATAATATCTCCTCGTTTGTCGTTCGAAATGTTTTGCAAGATCCTTCGTTCTTAGTGAACAACATTTTGCCGTGAAGAACTCTTCTTGTAGTTGTTCTTTGAGATGAGTTGGTGTACCGATGAACTCTCTGTGAATCTCTCCCAAGAGAGCTGGTATTGTTGCCTGATAGACCTGTTGTTGACGGTATTCACCAAGAGAATTCCACCATTCTTTGAGTGCACCGGACAGTCTTGCTGTAAATTGTTGTATAACGAGCCCCAATGGAGATGTGATTGCCTCGGAATTCATCCAGGCATGGAATTCGTCAAGTCGGTCATTCCATTTATCGAACGGGATGTCATCAAGCGTGAAGACCATGATTCTTGAGGAGAATTGCTTTGGCGGTACTTCTTGGCGTCCGGTTCCTGAGAAATCCATTTCTTCATCACTTGTAAAGACTTCATTTATATCGGGTTCTCTTTTTGGAGTGCCTGATCCTTCTCCGATTGCGAACTGTTTTGGGATGGATTCCATTTCTGAACTTTGGTAAGAACTTGTTTCAGAGAAGTGCTTTATACTAGCTATCGGCTTCGGTTTGTTGACTTTCACGTCCCCTTTTGGAGTTTCATCATCGTTTGATTTTCCAAGTGCGTCCATGAGACTAGACATCGAGAATTCTATTATGCCGATATCTTTTTCTTTCTTTTTATTATCTGCTTCTTCGGCCGATTCTTGGCTTGATGACGACGTAAGAGTTTGATCGTTTGATAGGATTAGAAAGGAATTCTGAATCCTTTTGTCTCCTAGGCCTTATTTTGGTAGCCTTTGTTTGAAAGTTGCTAGCCGAAGTAGTGCCGTAACGGGAGGTGAAAGCTTATGATAGGAATCCGGGAAGAGGAGCCTTTTGCTTTGCTTCCTGGTAACCAGAAAGAAAACCCAGGGAGAATGATCCTTGATACAAAGGTATCCCAGACAGCATACTTCCGAGTGGATTAAAGTATGTGTCTGTTTTACTTCGATTATGGATGAGGCTTTCTAGGCTTTTTTGGAGATCCTTCAGCTGGTGTTTGAGGCTCGCTGTCTCAGCTTCTTTGTTTCGAAAATTGGACGTATTCACCATCATATGTTGTGCCATCGATGTCATTTCTCGATGAAGATTGTCAAATCGACCATGGATCTCGATGATAGAGCTTTGCAGGCTATTGAATCTTTTGTCGTAGCCTGTGGTGAGTTGATCAACCTTATTGTTGATTGTTGACAACAATTGGTTTTTGCTAGCGCATTTTTCGTCTGCCAATTAAGAACCTTTTCTCCTTGGCTCAGTTGATTAGGGCCAGTAGAGTTGATGGCTCTCGTGAGTATTTTCGGAGAGTGGTTGACGTCTTCTTTGGTGAAGTCTTCATTTGGGGGAAAAGTTTTTGCTTGCATCATCATTATTTCTGGCTCCTTTTTCTCCGAGTATTGGACTATGAAATCATATTTTCCGTCACCGAATGGACCAACGGTGGGGTCTCCGTCGAGATACCTCTTGTAAAGAGGATCTTTCTTTGCTCGTCTTCGCCGGCGAATTTCGTCGTCAGATTCGTAATTCCAGTAGTCTTCTTCACAAGCCGAGCAGGAACATAGGTCGAGGTATTGATGGCCGTTTTCATCCTTAAAAGGGTACAAAACTCTCCCGTCCTGGTAAAAGGACAATGGTTGTGGTATTTGTTCCCTGTAACAACCTTCGAATTCTTGTTCATCAATTTGTATTGCGAATTGAGTGAACAATTGTTTTCGAAAGGAGGATGATTTCTGTTGTTCGAACTTGATTTATGTTGTTCCGTCGTTTCGGGAGTGAAAGCTAGCTTCGGACGTCTGTATTGGAGATTGAGATGCTTGGTGTAACTTCTCATAACTAGTTACCCATGATTTTGGCAGTCGTCGTACTAACTCATCTCGAGATATTTGTCGAGGAATTTGGATGGTGTTTGGCGCTTGTGTTGCTGATGTAACCTCCAGATATAGTGCGTCATCGGAAGATGGTAGCGCAAGATCGAGAGCGTGATCTTGAACTTTGTAGACGATTTGATGGTGCAAGGTGGCTATCATACTTTTTTCTTGCATAGGTGCGCCAACTATTTGTAGAAGATTGGGGTCCTTTAAGGAGATATTAAAATTTGGAAACAGTGTTACGAATACTGTTCAAGCATTTAATGTTGTTTGGACCGTTCCAATGCAAGCTTGCTGATATGACTTTAGTCTGGAGTCAACTAACGCAAGGCGGGCTATTACGGGTAGGCCTTTGCGTGCATGTAGCGTCAGGCCGAGTCTGACCACCCCGAAGTGTAGATGAGTGTACCCCTGTTGCTGCCATAGCCTTGGTAAATTTTCTGGTATGTTGAGTGAAACGAATTGCTCTTCTTCCGTGGCTGGGACTTGGCAAGATGAGAATTTGCTGGATGAAACGTACTCCAAGATTCGCCTGCTGGAAGACGGTCTTATTAATTCTCTGACACCTTTGACAGAGAAAGTATTAGGCTTGCGTGAAAAGTATTCGTAGGGATTGATCAGAGGAAAGGTGGTTTCGGGTAATTGGTCTCCGGGTACATATTCAATTTCATAAAGGGAGTTAATGCTGGATGAGGAAGAACGGCTTTTACTTTTTGGTAAGGTTGAAATTTGAATAGGAGAATCGATAGTTAATGGGTTGGAAGTAGACATTGAGAGGAGATGTTATCCAGGAACTTCGATACCTTCAACCAAAAACAATGATTCTTTCATCCAATTCTTGATTACACCGGGCTCTGATACCAGGATAATAGAGCAAGAGCTAGAGAGTTCTTGTTGGTAAGAGTCGTGTTGACAGATATGAGAGGTTTTCCAAGTTTAGGGAGCTTATACGGGCCAATGCCTCTGATCTTGCTCAACCTCTGTTAGGAAATTCACCCCCACATAAGTCGTGTTGACTAAAACCGTGTTGAACAATACTATCCGTGTCTACTACTTGGAGCAGAAAGTGATCTCAAGAGTGATAGAAAGAAATCAGAGCTTATGGAGAAGAAAGGAAGTCTGGAGAACAAGGAAGTTTAGAGAGACATTTAGAGAGAGAATCTTAGAGAGAGGTTTTTATTGAAATTCTAAGATGAAATTTTACAATGGGGTTACATACATATTTATAGGGGAGGAATGAGGGTGCTGACATAAGCTCTTACCTCATTCTTACATCATCTCCCATTAAGGTGCTGACATAAGCACTTACCTCACTCTTACATCATATAATTAAAGCATAATTAAAAATAATTAAACATAATTTAGATACTTATTCATTAGATACTTCATTTAGTGGTCCATTTCGAACTGGAGAATGTGCTTGTCGCAACAGCCATAGTGATCATCTGGACATTCGTATTCTTCTTCCGGTTCTTCAAAATTTTCTTCCGATTTTGTGTTGACGTCAATGTTGAATCTTCTTCCTATCTCATCGATATTTATCTCGTCGTCCGGAAGTTGTGCATCTTGGAAGTACTCCTGTTGTACATGTTGAGATGTTGGTTCTTGTTTTACGGTCTCTGGGACATTACGCTTCATTGTCTTCTGTTTTGCTGTCATTGCTTGCTTACTTTCCATAAAGTATTGAAGGTCTTTCATCAAGGCTCATATGGTAGTCGAAGGGGTAGTAGGACCAGCTATGGTTGAACGGGATTGGGAATGTTTGTCTAGCGCTATTGAGTCGAAAAGCGTGAGCTTGAAAATCTTCGTATGGTTTGGTATCTTGGAGGTTGAAGTCGGGTCGGATTCCTCTTTGATAGTCTTTATGATGGATGAGCGTGGGTAATGCATGTAATTTGCTGGACTTGGTGTTGACCTGGACAGGACGGTGGAAGAAGTATATGGTGTGAGGGTTGAAGAACGGGTTAAGATTGCTCTGGTTTCCTTGACCTCTCAGTTGTTTGAATGGTAAGTTTGTTGCTTTTGCAGATCTTCTTAAGTTTCCACTCCAGTTTGACAAGGAGGTAAACCACGTCAGGAAAGTTGAGAGGCAATTCCTTTGACCATGATGTGAGTTGATGTGTTGGTAGAACTATACAATGTCGAATGTGATGCCGATGGTGTAGACTGAGCAAAGATACCAAAGGAAGCATAAGACTTCTTCTGGCATGTTTGTGTTTTCAATTCTGAAGAGATGAGCAAATGGATAGTCCGGGTGAATGCCCATTGGTGCTATGAAGCGACAGTTGATTCCGTATCTGCATAGGATAGTGGATTGGTATTGGAAGATTTTATGATGAAGGCGCTCATGCAGGGTTTTTGTTTCGATGAGCTGATGAGCGTCCTTGGGCATATTGCCGTCGAAGTCATAGAAATCTTCTTTTGGTGTCGAGGATGTCGTCATCAGATTGATTTCTTTGGGCGGGTTTCTGCTGAGCATGTCTGCAAGAGTATTCTTTTTGCCCTTTAAATAGAAGGACTCGAAGTCGTACTTTGAGAACCATTCACTCCATCGTAACAACTGCTGGTGTGGGATCATCTTTTGCTTGAATTGTAACATCTTGGGAAAAGAAGACATATCCATTTCGATTCGAAATTTATGTCCTATCAAGTGAAACTCAAATTTCTCGATTGCCTTCTTGACCGCCAAGATTTTTTTGAACGTGGAGTGATAGTGCATTTCGGAATCTTTAAAGCGTCCACTTCTGTATCCACAGATTTGTCTTTTCCCATCTATCTCTTCGAACAGTATTGCTCCCCAGTATTTGTCACTTGCGTCTGTCTACAGGATTCGTGTTCCCGTGGAGGGAATCTGTAAAGCTGGTAGCTTATGTATTTTATCTTTAGCCTTTTGACCGCTTCAGTTTGTCGTTTTGCCCATTGTGGTGGATTTTTTGTCAGCATTTTTTGGAGTGGTCTTGTCAACTGTGAAAGTTGCGGAATGAAGTCGCTAACATAATTAATGACCCCGAGAAATTGTTGGACTTGTCTCCTTGTTAGATTCTCGTCGGGAAAATCAAGAAGTGCTGTAGCGAGATGAGATTGCGGTTTGACTCGTCCCATTGTGATTTGCATCCCGAAGAAATCGATATTGGGCTGGGCTATGATCATTTTTCGGGCAGAGAGCATTGTTCCATAATCTTTGATGATTTTTTGAAATGATTTGAGGGACCGAATATGATCTTCTTCAATTGAGGAGAAAAGGAGTATGTCGTCGATGTAAATTAAAGCCGTGTTGAGGAGAGGCTTGAAGATTCTTAGCATTTTAAAAATCAATTCTTTTTACAGCTATTTTCACACTAATTTTTATTTAAGTAAAGGCCTATTTTAACATAAAACATCGAGTCTATGAAACGGTTGGGCCATACCTACTTACACCATCAGCCACAAACAATGGTGGAGCCAAAAATCATTTTTATAGGGGTCATATGTGATTCTAGAAGAAAGCACCGGAGTCAATTAAGAGAAATCCAACCAAATTACCACAATAATCACTTTATACATAGATTTATAAACAAAATTTTAGATATTCTTATCACCAACGTGGCTCCGCCCCTGGCCACAAAGAGCTGTCGTCACTAGGTTGGCTTACGGTGAAAGACGGAGTTCGAAAAACCAGACCAATGACATTCCTTCTACGGAGGTGCATGCTCTAATGTTCCTTTTTTAATATATAATTCATAATTAATATTTTAGAGATTGTATACTTTTTCAATAGATTTCCTACGTAGATTTCATTTGTCTCCGAGTTTTCATTTACGAATCCATATAATTTACCTTTTTATATAAAGAAAGTGTAAACCATTTTTGATATTCTCTACATTTCAAATTAGTTGTCGTTTTGGGAAAATAGGAAAATGTATCTGCAATTATTTGAATGTATCTGGATGTGTTTTAAGTTTAATACATCCAAATAATTGCAGATACATTTTCCCAAAACGACAACTAATTTGAAATTTGAAAGAGAGTATAAAACAAAAATTTGTCTCCCTTTTTCTTTTACTTGTGTGTTTATGTTGGATATAGGCCCGGTCCATTTTTACAGAAGTCCCAGAGTTAGAGAAAATAAAAATTCATTTATTTTTGTTAACTGAATCATTCGGATGTTTTTGCGTAACAAAAACTTAGAGTTCAAATTTTTTTGGACCTTCTAAAAAACGAAAAAGCCCACAAAATTATTTTTTGGACCTTATGCAAGTGCATCTCCAGCAACTGCATATGGTCGGGCCTAGTTGGACATGTGTTTTTGTGCCTATGAACATGACCGGAAATGAGTCCATGAAGAAGGGGATAGATAAATCGAGGAAATACATACTGGCAAAGACAGATTGTCACTTGTCTGATTTTCCAAGTGAAATAATAAAAAAATAAATTAAATGAGAAAAGAGATAGAGGAGAATCTCTCAAATGGGAAATTTCGAGGAACTTTCTTATATTACAATTATTACAGCACTAGTGACTTTCTACATGAGGTGGATTTTACCTCACCGAAGAGACTATCATGTCATTTGTTTACCTACACTCAAGTTTTTATCATTTCACTATTTCTACGATTTCTGTCATTCCTCTCTCCACAACTCATCTCCTCCTTCGCTAAAAACCCATAAATCCACCGCCGAGAGATCAGCACCTTTACTCTTTTCCGAGACATCGTGTGCTCCTTCAATCCGTAGCAGATTTCGCCAATTTAGTTTGATTTTCCCCTAAATCCAACTTATATATGGAAGGTACGAATCTTTGTTCACTCCTTTATTCTCTACCACATGTACATCAATAGTATTTTGGTTGATTTAGAGTAAGATAAACTTTAGTTTCTCTCCAAATTGTTCCTTCCATAAATTATTTTCTCCTTCTCTTCGAACCGTTGTTCTTTATTGTTTACGGATTCAAGGAATCCATTCTTCTCGTTGCTTACACCCAGGCCAGCCCGGAGGGTGTTGGAGCAATGCAAAAGCACATGGTCTTTACACATGGTCTTTAGATTTGTTTTCATATATTCATTAATATTTAGAGTCAAAAAATTTAAAAACTAAATCAGTGTTTAACAAATAAATAGAGGCGGCTGAAAAATATGCAGAAAATAAGGTTTATCAGTACAAAAAAGAAGAAGATGAAACACACGTGAAACACACATGCTTTTTTTTTTGAAAAAAAAATTACAATTGTGGGCTTTTAAGTAGGGCTGGGACTTCGGGTGATCGGGTCGGGTTTGGGTAGGAATCGATTCGGTTGGGTTTGGGTAGGAACCGATCGGGTCCGGTTTGATCGGGTATAGAGATTTCATACCCATATAGGTACCATAAGAATTTCGGTTCGGTTTCGGATCTGTATTGAAACAGCCAACCTCTCTTTTTTTTTAAATAAATAAATCAAATAAACAATTCTCAGCGGAAGATAAGTAAATAATAAAATAACTCAATTCAACAAAATAATTCGAAAATATAAAAATACTAGCAACCTAAACATTAGGTTCATCTGTCAACTTAAACGATGCAATAAAATTCCTATCATCCTCTTCTTGGGTCTTGATTCCACGATCACACATTTCTTTTACCTGCATCACAATACGAAAGAAATGCGCAAGTATTTTATAAATAATTAGTGAGACGATCACCCCACTTACATGCCAATTACGCAAAACACTAGATACAAGCAACATCAATAACACAACTCAACAGACAACAATCACCTAATCAGTTATGGTGTCTAGTGACACTCCCTGGTGTCGGTCGGCACCCTACCCTTGTGTCGACCGACACCAAAGTGGTGTTGCACGACACCGACTCGCAGTCAACTGACCCAAACGACGAAAACTCGCAGAAACACTAAATCAAAGGGTTTTCAACACCCAATAAGTGATTAAACAACGAAATAACAAGAACACAACATGAACTCAACACAAAAATCAACAATCAATCAATCTCTAGTGAATCACGAGCCTACGGGGACACACTCACCTCAAATCGGATTGAAACAGAGAGGGATGGGAGAAACGACAAAGAACAGCAACAAACGACTTTGATCCGACTCCTAGAACTCAGAAACTCTCCAAAATTGCTTCTCTTCTCTTCTCTAACACTTCTCTTCTCCACAAAACGACAAAAGAAGAATAAAATGCGGCTGCACAGATTTTATTCTTGAAACAATTGTTTCTAGACCCAAACCGGCTAAACCAGGTGACTTAAATTGAACCGGATTCGATTTTCAATAGCCGGTTCAATACTTAAACGATAAAAAGAACTTGTTCGTGAACACAGATTGTGCGCGAACAAGTTCTTTTTATCGTTTAAGTATTTTTATTTCTTTAGTATCAACAAGTCTCTCTGATTCATAAAACACTGGTATTTTACTAATTATTAGATTTTATGATCAATAACCAGGATTCCTTATTGCCTTTCGAGTTCATAAAATCTAGATTTAGATTTATTTTATCAAATTTATACATGTTTATTAATGGTAACGAATAAGTTTCTTCTTTGTTTTTTTGTTTCTTGTAGCCACACGTTTTGTGTTCTCGTGGCTTAAAGAGAGAAAGTTGGGAGTGAGTTAAGTGGGGTTGATCAATCACATAGAAAATATTTGGTGGCTTTATTGTGTAACATCTTATATAAGAGATGGCGAGTAATGAAGTTGCTAATGCATATCCTGAAATTTTAGGCATAAGTGAGAAATTTTTTTATTGACTTTCTTTTATTTTCAGAAACATTTTTGTGTGATAATGTTTTTTCTCTTTTTACTGAGCAGTTGATACTCAAAGAGCTATTTGTACGAGGAGACATGGAAATCATGTGCTGGACTTTCGGGTGATCTTCCAAAATTGGAGAAAAAGTTTATTACTTTCCTCAAGGACAACTAGAGCAAGTAAGGGCTCAATCTCTATATCTTCCGATTTTAATTTTCTCTTAAAAATTATATTTTGTTTTTGAAATAACATTACACAATTTAATGGCATCTTTAGTTAGAAGCGTCTACAAACCAAAAATGGATCATTGAGGCAATTTAATGTCGATCTTCCGTCGAAGATTCCATGTCATGTTAGTGGTTATCAGCTTGAGGTAATGGCCCATTATTTACACATGAGCTACATTTGCTTAGATTGCATATATATTGGTTATATTGTTGCTGATTTTTGTATTCAATTTTAGGTGGACAAAGATACTGATGAAGTATACACCAAGATTACTTTGATGCCGGACTCCATGGTGATGCAAAATTCAAAATATATTTTTAAATTACTTGCACATTTTTTAATCCCTTTTAAATGATTTTTTTTTTAATTTGAAATATCTAGAAAACTGCAATTCCTATTCCCAATAATGTCAACCGTCGATTGCCAGTAGTTCGTTCTTTCACAAAGGTCCTAACTACATCAGATACAAACGGACATAGTGGATTATCTGTGCTGAGAAGACATGCAACTGAATGTCTTCCTCCGCTGGTATATGCACTTTGTTTTTAATCGAATAAACTCATATTTCATTTTTCAAGCTTCCATATGACTTTTATTGATTTTTTTTCTTTAGGATATGTCACAACCAACACCGACTCAAGAGCTAGTCGCTAAAGATCTCAATGGTTATGAATGGAGATTCAAACATATTTTTAGAGGCAATGAATCATTTATCTGATCAGTCCATTTAAAAAATAATAATAATGAAAATGATACTTTATGTTTACTTAATAGTAATATATGGTCTTCTATTTGTATGGAAACAATCTCATGCAGGCACACCCCAAAGACATTTGTTCACACAGGCTGGAATGCATTCTTTACAGCAAAAAAATTAGTCGCCGGAGACGCTGTTGTATTTCTTCGGTAAATTTAATGGTTTTACTTCTCTCTCTCTTTTTTTTACTAGATTACAGACTTAAACTGTATATTTTTTTAGAGGAGAGAATGGGGAATTACGAGTTGGTATCAGAAGAGCTGTGCATAAACAAAACAACATAGCTTCATCAACAGTTTCAATAGATACTATGTACCATGGAATAATTTCTACTGCAAAGAATGCTATTAATTCCCCTTGTATGTTCACTGTGGTCTATAAGCCAAGGTAAATAAAAACATTTTGTTATTTATAGATATAACATGGAATTAGTTTCTTCAATATTGTGCTTACTATTATGGATCTTGATATGATATTAGGTCAAGCCAATTTGTCATCAGCTACGAAAAATATCTAGATGCTGTGAACAATAAGGTCAATGTTGGCTCGAGATTTAAAATGCATTTTGAGGGTGAAGATTTAACTGAAAGAAGGTAAACCATATGAACATATTTTCTTTTTTTCTTCTTTTCTTTTGTTTCTTATCTAATATATTTTTTTATTATAAAAGATGCTTTGGGACAATTAAGGATGTCAAAGATTACTCCCCTAATTGGAATGATTCAAAATGGCGATCAGTTGAAGTAAAATTATCCTATCTCTACTTTTTTTTTTTACTTTTTCCAATCATAATAAATAACAATATTCACCAACTCTGTTTTACTAGGTACAATGGGAAGAACAAGCCGTAATTCCAAAATCTAACAAGATTTCACCTTGGGAAATCGAGGATTTATTGCCTTCAACAAGTGTTTTCCAATCAGCTTTGCTAAAAAACAAACGTCCCCGTCAAGATAATGAAATTGGTACAACACATCATAATCTTTTGTTAAATGAGTTAAAGCTTTGAAATCTTTCATATTTATAATTCTAAACTTCTTATGAAATCTTTTGCATTATAATTCTATTTATAGGTTCAACATCATTGAATCTATGGACTCCGACATTAACTCAAGGCCAAGAAATTGGACAATCGAGTAAGAGCTACCCAATAAGTGTTGCTCAGCTTAGTTATGATAACTCAACTGAAGATCCAAAGATTCCTTCTGGTTGGCTAATGAGCAGCTGCGAGGTCCCAACCATGCATAAACCAAAATACAACGACCAACTGGTTATATCAGTGAAAGAAAATTTAGCCACTGATTTAACCACTAGTTGTAGATTGTTTGGAGTCAATTTGACGACTCCTTTGAAGACCAAAGATCTCTTGGGAGGAATTGACTCATACCAAAAATCAGGGATTTCCAAACTCCTGAAGAAAAAAAGCATGAACAGAACCAGACTATAGCTTCATCAAAGGAGGTCCAAACCAAACAAATAATAATAATTCACGAAGTCGTACCAAGGTAAGGGAAAATCAGCATGTTTTTACTGTTTACATACGACTCGATTATAGTATCATGGTTTTACTATATACATACAGCCGATGAAAAACTTAATTTACATTTACTATTATTTCATTTTTATATATAGTGGGAACTTTATTTTTATAATTTAATATGACACTTTCATACATTTACCAAATAGATTTAGATGCTATCTTTCTATTGTGTTTATTTAACAGGTGCAGATGCATGGTCTAAGTCTATGCAGAGCGATAGATTTAACTGTTCTTGATGGATACAATGCGTTGATGAAAGAATTGGACAAAATCTTTGATCTCAAAGGCGAGCTGTGTGCCGGCCATTTATGGGAAATAGTCTATATAGACAATGAAGGAGATATGATGCTCCGGGGACGATCCATGGCCGTAAGTTCCCTCTCTCTTTCTCTTTCCCCTAATGACTGCTAAAGTTTGGAAATGTATTTGACTTCGAGTTTTTGTGTAGTGAGTTCTGCAACATGGTGAAGAAACTAATCTTATGTTCAAAAGAGGAGGTTAAGAAAATGAAGTCAGCAAACGATTCTTCTGAAGGTGAATCAACTTTAAGAACGTTGATTTTTAATACATTATGACATACCACTAGATATCAAAACAAATATTTAGTTCTCCAACTAATTTTTATATTTCTTTACTTATTGCTGATGTGATTTTTTTTTTTGGTTTTGTATTATGTTTTAGGTGTTTAATTATGAGCAAGTTATGTCAAGAGAATAAGGGAAGATGGAAACAAAGATTTACAAATGTTTGAGTTATATCAATGGGGAAAAGAGAGTCAATAATGGAAGAGAAGTTTGGTAAAATGTTTTATTTTGTTCGTGATGTTTTTAAAAAAAATGGTAACAAGTGTCTTCTTTGTGTTATGGGTGTTTGAGTGTCTTCTTTTGTCTCTTTTTTACAGTGTTTGTCGTTAATGTTGTATGTGTCTGTTGTTTCAAAAAAAAAATTGTATGTGTCTGTAATATGTCTATTCACCTTTTAAATTATATTTAAAACTCCCCTTTTGTCGCATTACTATGCTTTCTTCTTTTATCATAGTACTAGAATAATGTCCTGAAATAATAAGAAAGTAAAATTAAATTAATATAGTTTTAATTAAAATAATATATTTTAATTATTTAATGAAGCTGAAATTTACTTGTCTATATTCTGGTATTGTTTTGTAAGTAATGTGGTTCACCTGTAATATAATTCTAAACAATAGTTTAAATTAAAAAATCAATATAGCAAGAATTAATATATGAAATCTGAAATTTTTTTATGTATATTTAAATTTGAATAAACATGTGTTTCACCTATTAAATAATTTCAAATAAACAGTTTTATTTTTTAGTTCAATAACAAATAAATCATACACATTATCATATAAAATTTGTCACATATTGTCTTTAATTTGATATATAAACTGTAAAATGTAATTAAAAATTTTACATGTTGACTGATTTTTAAAGTAAAAACAAAAACGATTTTAATTGTATGATTTAATATTAGATTTTTTAAATATTAGTTTTGGTAAGTTTAGAAAGATATAAATATGTTTGGTTATAGGAATTAGAGTAATTAAAATAGATTAAAATGTAAATAATTATGTTTGGCAATGAATATAAGAGAATTAAATAAATCAAAAATTAAAAAAACTGAAAAAAATTGTGAAAGTGACACATCAGCAAAAATGGTCTTCAATGTTCCTCCTTTAATATATAGAGGATATTGTTGATTTTTTTCTAATTTATATTCAAACATCTATATATTATCGTCTTTTGAAAGAAAAAAAAATCAAACAAATACAGTACTGTGAACGAATTAATTGTAAGTAATAAAATAAATTATTTGTTTATAAACTCATGCCTATCAGGGGATGTGCCTTTAGTTTTTTTATTTTTTCCTTTGTAAATGAGAAAGAATGAGAGAGAATAAACATTACTTGTAAATGATGTAATTTTTTGTTTCCCATCATTCTCATGGTCACCATTGAAAGCCTACATGATTTTTGGCATTCTAAATCTCCATCTCCATGAACTAAAAAGTATATTCAGGTCAGGGAACAATGCATTGGTTAGCCCAATAAAGTCATCACCAGCACAAGTTGGGTTTGATTTCCTAAAACATCCAAGACTTTCTTCATGATCTCCAGTGACTATAGGCACTTAATCCTTAATCCTTCCTTAATCCTTCCAAGCACATACATTGTGAGTCAATGAATCAAAAATAGCATTAATTCCACAAAAACCGCATGTGTTGCTTATGTCCTTTGTGCTATACCATGACATATTACATATCATAAAAATTACAAAAATCATAATATTTATAATGCAGTAACAAATATGAGAAGTTTGAGAAATGTTAATTTGGATAATATTTGATTAAGTACGTAATATGAAAATAAATTGTCAATTATCTTCAGCTTCATATAATTATAATAACTATATGTCCAATATTTTCAAAACAACAAATTCAATTAATTCTTAATAAATTTACTTACATTTTCTTAATCAAAACTCTATCATACACTGTTACTATTAGAGAAAAACAAATTAACAAAAATAAGCATAGTTTAAGCAAAACATAGTAAAAATGACAAAAAAAATTATTATATTTTGCTATTGTATACTTTTTAAGCTATTCTCTTATTATGTATGTTACTTCATTTGATTTAATCATACTTGTTAACTCTGTATTTATCTGGCCCAAACAGGGTTCAACCGTGGATTATTTTGTCCCAAAAAAATATCTAACCATATCAAACCTAATAAAGAACTTTAAATAGTTTTAGAAAGTCAGAACCAAGTGAACCTGGAAAAATTGGTTGAATATTGATTAAACTTTGTAAAATGTATACTTCAAGGATATCTCATGTGTCCAATAGTGTAGTTTCCACCCCAAAAAAAATGTGTCCAATAGTGTAATTGGTGGTGTCTGAGTCCAATCATTCAAATTGACACTAATTCCGTATTAGTATGGCCCGGGGCATTTGGCCGTACTAATTAATTTATTTATTAGTAAATTTTAATGTAATATATCTATCTGTTTTAGATCTATGTGAAACTCGTCAAGATGGAAAAAGATAAATGAAGAAAAGATCTATGAAAAGTAAATAGATCGATCTATGTAAAAGAAAAAATCATTACCACCTTGGTATTTGGTGTAATTTTTGACATCAAAGACTTGGAACGAAGCATGGCAACAAATGCTATACATGTGAAAGTACTACATAAATTTTGCATTTTAAAACAACATCTTCATGAACCATTAATTTTGAAGATATTGGATTTATATCCGGAAAGACATACAATTTTGGGGATCATGAGCATCATTGGCGTGATGGAGGCGGCTATAGTCACGGTAATCTGGGAGAAAAAAAAATTCCGTCTGGGAAGTACATACGAATGTAAGACTACTCACACCTTTATTTGGGGTAAGTAGATATTAATAATCAGATTAAATGATCAACTGAAAAACATACAAACCCTAACAACTCTCTTTTTTCATAGGAAGTTTACTTAGCGGCTGATTACTGCATTTCCGGCAAGACTATGTATGACAGGCAAGGCTGGCCCTTAGTGTGTGTCCAAAGTGCATTTGCACTGGATCCATATAATCGTTTGCAATATTTAATTAGATTTCAAGGCTCTTTACAAAAAAGGAATTATGGTCTTTTTTGCAGATTTTTCTTATTATACTACCAAAAATATATATAATTGCATAAGAATAGTCATATCAACTAATTTCTTGGATCCGGTAACAATGCATTGGTTAGCCTAATAAACTCATCACCAGCACAAGTTGGGTTTGAATTCCTCAAACATCGTGCAAGACTTTCTTCATGATCTCCAATGTCTATAGGCACATTGTGCAAGTTGTTCATTTGCCTTAATCATTCCAAACAATGCATTGTGACGTCAATGAATCACAAATAGCATTTATTCCACAAATATCGTATTTGTCGCTTCTGTACTTTGGGCTATACCGAAACATATTCCATATATGAGAAGTCTTGTTCCAAATCAAATGTTTGAGATTAGTGTGGTTACTCAGCTTCACTCTCATGTAAGTGAGAAATGCAAATTTATGTAATATAAAAATAAAACAAATATTTTATATAACTATAATAACTCTACATCAAATATTTTCATAAAAACAATTAATTTTATTAATGAATATACATACATTTTCTTATTTAAAATTATATCATACATTATTAATATTAGAAAAAATAATCTAACAAGACAAAAAGTAAATTAACAAAAATAAGCATAAGGTAAGCAAAACATATGTAAGTTATAAGTAAAACATAAGAAAATGAAAAAATCATACTATTAGCAAAACATATGTAAGTTTCTAGTACATACTATTAAAGTTATTCTCTGTATATATATGTTACTTCATTAGATTTCATCATAGTTGTTAACTTTGCATTTATCCAACCCAAACTGAATGTCTAAACCGGGTTCGACTGCATGTACAAACTAGATTGATTTGTATCACAATTTGTTGATCCCTTATGGTTTTCTCGATATATAATGTTTAGGAATATATCAAGCTCGCCTATGCAGCAATCTTGCTGCGGAATTAGCATTGTTCGAGTGATTGCATGCGAGAAAATTGCAACGGTACCCATGATCACCTTCACATTTGGAACAGTGACATAACCCCTTACTCCAGAACAGGTAATAATAAATTTCTCTATACTTTATGAGTTTATTTTCAGCCTTAATTACTTGACATTTTTTGTAATGACATTTCACATTGGTTTATCGTATCCAAACAATTAATTAATAGTAGAAGAACATGCAACCTTCGTTTTGTAAAGAGTACCGCTGATCAGAGTAGTGCTGCCTAATGAACAAAAAAAAGAAGCTTTGGCCTACGACATCAGTTATAGGAATAGGATTAGAGAGGCATATTTTATTAATTATAGTTTCATATATATATATATATATATATATATTCATAAGGCATATTTTATTGTTCATATATGTTCATTAGCAATGTTTAAGTTTTATCCCAAGTTTAAAATGACAGCATCATTTTCAAGTCTCTTTTCCACATATTTAATTATTTTTATTTACTATTTATTTTCATCATTTTTTTCGTTTTTTAATCTACCAATTTTCTATTTGGGTATTCATTTTTTCTTTTATATTATCTTCTTTCATCAAAAAATTATTAGATATTTTTTTAAAAATATACGATAATTTTCTTAATAAATAACATATTTTTACTCAAGATTTTAGTAAAAACAAAATTCTATATTGATCTTAAAATAATCAAAAAAATTGTTTTTCTTTTTAACTTATTGTCATCATTTTACTGTATAAGTATCATGCATATATTTGGATATAATGCCAAAATGTTAGTTAGATAATAGCCAAAGATTTTTTAGCTTCCGTGAAGCCAAAGCCCCTTGAGGCAGAAAATCCCTTTTAACATGCATGGAACGTAACACATGCATACCGAGATGCTCAAAACTTTACTACTGAACAAATGAAGCAAATTTGTTAAGTTTCTTTCGCATCCAACCTAAAACCAACTGGTAATAGGTGGAGAGACATCAGTCTCTTATATATTGTTCAAAGTCCCTATCAATCCTAAAGTCGGGGGTCCCTTTCTGGGCCAGGTCGTGAGATTGTGTGGTTTGGGCTGGGATACCATCTTAAGTTTCCTTGACATCCAACCTAAAACCAATTGACAATAGGTAGAGAGGTCTTAGTCTCTTATATATTATTTAAGGTCCCTCCCACTTTCCAATGTGAGATTTTATCTTGCACACTCTCTAGAGATTAAAGCTTCATGGCCAATTAACCTCTACAATATCCCAATAAAATTGCTTTCATTATAAATGAAAATGTCAAGATTCGTGCTTATTCGTTAGATAACAGCAATTTTATCATAGCTTACTGTAGAAGCCATCCAGCTTCAAGTAGGCAACTGATAAAAACTACAGATGGGCCGGGTCTTGCTCTCCGTTGAGATAAAGCGTTTGCCTAAACGAACTCTTATATATCTATCATACATGTCGAAGAATAACCCCATGGGAGGAACAATGTGGGAGTACAAAAAACAGAAGACATAAAATCTATTAATAAAGTAATGAACCTAACGGTACGTACATGCTTACTTGTTAACTCATTTTGGCTAGTTTTGTAAAAAAAAACTCAAAACAATCGATATAGTGTCGCCATGATTGCTGAATATTTTATTTAAAAGGAAAAAACCCTAAAATTTGCTAATGAATTAGTGACGCCAAATCGTTTTCATTATTGGATTAAAAAAATCACTTCTGATATTCGTGCTTACTCACCAATGCCAAGTTGCCAACAACCTTATTATTTTTCAAACGATATGATAGTTTTTTTATTAAACTAAAGCAAAGATGGATATAAATAATGAGTTACAACTAGAAAGACATCGACCGCTTTCGTTTTGTTGATTATTAGAAAGAAAAAAAGACTTGGAAAACGAAATGTGATGAGAAAAACGGCAATGCACAATTGTGGCGACATTATGAACTTGGCAACACTAAAAAGAAACGAGAAGGATTAAACAACTATAACAAAGTGACAACTGTTGACTATAAATAGATATCCACGCCTATGGATTTATATCATCAAAGCTTAAGTTTATTGAAAGGAAAAAAAAAAAGGTTTTAGCAAAAGCAAAGAAAAATAGAAAAATATGGCCAAGAACCTCAACTCCACCAGCTTCACTATTCTCTTGCTTGCCCTCGTGATGGCTTCAACCGGTATTAATTTAACCAAGTTAATATTTATTATAGTTTTCAGTGAAGGTGTCTTTTAATTATCTTTTGCCCATCATAATATTGATGAATATGTATGGCAACATTTAGGAATCCTCAAGAGCGAGGCTCAAACCTGCGGTGTCGGCGGATGCCCTAACCTTGTAGACCGTGTTTTCTGGGGTGAGTGCGGTCCGGCGCCATTCACAGGTACAAATGCTGACTGCTGTACCTGTTGCGTAGCCAAATTTGGGAGTCCTCCAGTCTGCTGGGCGGTTGTTGAGGGAAGCGACACCCACTGCCATTGCTACAAAAAGAAATGACGAGGTTTCAAATAACCTCATATCATATAATTACGTACGTACTGCGGTGGCTTTTGTTTTGGTTATGTGGTGTGAGCACATGACATGTGTGTATGTTTATGTTCAAGTTTCTTTTGCTTCCAAATAAAACACACGGGAAAAGTTTAACCCTGCTTGCCTCCCAAGTGTAATCTCATGTTATGTGGACTTTTGTTTCATTCGTATACTAAACACGTTTTGTGTTTGTGTTTATCATTTTCTTTCCCGCCTACATTCAAATTTATGTCACAAGAAATTCTCTATAAATATTGGTCACATCTTGTGGTGTAAGCTTGGACAGTTGTATTGGGTGGAATGAGCACATTCTTGTTATGGCTCTTCCCTCATTAAATATCCGCTCTACTGGTGTGATCATATGAGAGTTTTTAATGCCATGTGGTGTAAGATTGGACAGTAAAAAAACAAAAAGAACAAGAAAAAGATTGGTTAGTAATATCAGTTTTAAACACGCATGGGGAGAATTACTAATTAATGGGATTAACACATTGAATAAAATAGAGAAATCAATTTTAAAAACAAATAAAGAAGAACCTAATAAAAATAGATAACTTTCTTAATATATTTGAAAAATCAAAAATATCAAACAATCAGCAACAATGTAAGTATCTAGTGTAGTCTACAAGTAGGATTTTGTTGTCTTTTGCCATTTTGCCTCATACTCTTCCCTTTTTGATATTCCTAATTTACGTTTATTTTCCTTATTAACTTGGCAAGATTGACCATTGATTGCATTTTTTTCGTTCGTTTCGGCCCGTTTTTCCATGAAACAACCAACATTTTTTATATATATAATTAATTACTAAACAATTCTAGCGAAGGTCTTTAAAATAAATTAAATAAATAATTCAAATATATACTATATAAAAGTTGAGGCTATAAGCCTCTAAGAGCGTCCACATCAGCTTTTAAGAAACCAATTAAATTTCTCCAAATCAGCATTTTAATTTTAAAATCAAAAATTAAATATTTTTTTTGAGATAATTAATTACTAAACAATTCTAGCGAATGTCTTTAAAATAAATTACATAAATAATTCAAATAAAAATATCAATTCAGTTAAGCGGAAGCAAACAAATAATTAAACAAGTCTAACAACTTAAACAACTTCAATGAAATAAAGCAAAACAATAAATCCTATCATCCCCTCTTCAGCCTTGATTCCGCGATCACAAGAACCTCTTACCTGCAACACATTGGAATGAAGTTGCATAAGTATTTAATAAATACTTAGTGAGGCAATCACTCTGCCTATAGGCCATTTACGCAATTTACTAGCAATTAAAATAATAATTAATATATTATCTCTCCATTATTAAATAATTATCAGTGATTAAAACTTCATTTCTCAATTATTAAATAATTCTCATAATTAAATAATAATTTTCCATGTTTTAAAATAATTATTTTAAGCCACTTAATTAATTAAATATTTTTAATTAATTAAATCTGAATTTAAACCAATTAACCAGATTTAAACCAGAAATTACTTAAATTAAATCAGAAATCAATTTTCAATTGAACCAGACTAAACCGACTGCGTCGACGCACGTCCGTCAGGTCGACAGTGATATCAACAAATCACTTAGAAACACAGAATTAACACATAAATCACGAAAAGATCATCACACAAACCTCACCTCATAAGAACACCTCAAGAACAACATTTAATCAATCCAGATTTAGTGATTTGCGGACCTACAGTCATGCACTCACCTTGAAAATGGATTGAAACAGAGAAAGGAGATGGAAACCACGAAGAACAGCCACAAACAGAAGCAGATTCGCCCAGAAACACCAAAATCTCTCCAAAAAATCGCCTCTCTTCTCCTCTTCCCAAGAACACCTCAAAAACTGAGCCTAAAACGCGGCTGCCTTCTTTTAAAACGAAAATTAGGGTTTCCAGCCCTTAACAGAGCCAAACCAGGCCCAATTTCACTTAAATTAAACCGGGTCTCATTTTGAAATTATTGCGTCGAGCAACTTCTAAAACTCGATTTTGGTACGGATGTTACATTCCATATCTGGATTAATTAGTGTCTTCAAGAGAAGAAAAGAAAACAACTACGTCTTAGCGCGCGGTAAACACAACAACACTTTCTTTTTTGCTTAACCTGCTTTTCCGAAGACCGTAACAGTGTTAGCCATCTAGGGTTAATATTGGACTTTGAATACTTTGACTTCGTTTGCTACTAAAGAACTAAGTGACAATGAGTGGGGAGTACGTAGTTACCTTAACAACAACAAAGTGTTAATTAGATAGTAGCCAGAGATTTTTTAGCGCGCTTCGGTGAAGCCAAAGCCCCTTGAGGCAGAAAATCCCTTTTAACATGCATGGAACGTAACATATGCATACGAGATGCTCAAAACTTTACTACTGAACTAATGAAGCAAATTGCTTTCGTTATAAATGAAAAATGTTAAGATTCGTGCTTATTCTTTAGATGACAACAATTTTATCATAGGTTAACTGTAAAAGCCATCCAGCTTCAAGTAGGCAACTGATAAAAACTACAGATGGGCCGGGTCTTGCTCTCCGTTGAGATAAAGCGTTTGCCTAAACCGAACTCTTATATATCTATCTTACATGTCGAAGAATATCCCCATGAAAGAGGAACAATGTGGGAGTACAAACAACAGAAGACATAAAATCTATTAATAAAGTAATGAACATAACGGTACGTACATATGCTTACTTGTTAACCCATTTTGGCTAGTTTTGTGAAAAAAAAATATATAATAGTAATACAGCATGAATGGAGATGCTCAAAACAATCGATATAGTGTCGCCATGATTTCTCCATACTGTATTTAATTTTATTAAAAAAAACAAAAAAAAAACCCTAAAATTTCCTAATGAATTAGCAAGGCCAAATCGTTTTCATTATTGAATTAAAAACTCACTTCTGATATTCGTGCTTACTCTATCAATGCCAACAACCTCCTTAATTTTTAAACGATACATTCTTTTATAAACTAAAGTAAACATCGAATTAGGCGTGGTCTAGTGGCTCGTTGCGTCTTGTTAGGTCCTCAGCCTCATGTGTTCGAACTTCAAAAGTGTTAATATTTTCTTTAACAAAAAAAAGATATATATAATGAGTTTTTTTTGTTAAATATATAAATCTATGTATATAATGAGTTTCAACTAGAAAGACAGCAACGGTTTCCTTTTGTTGATTATATAAGGCAAGTGCATTATTAGAAAGAAAAAAAGACTTGGAAAACAAAATGTAATGAGAAAGACGGCAAAGCACAAATTGTGGCGACATTATGAATTTGGCAACATTACAAAGAAACGAGAAGGATTAAACAACTATTATAAAGTCACACACTTTTGACTATAAATAGACATCCACACCTATGGATTTATATCATCAAAGCTTAAGTCTATTGAAAGGGTAAAAAACAGGTTTTAGCAAAAGCAAAGAAAAAAAGAAAAGAAATGGCTAAGAACCTCAACTCCATCAGCTTCACTATTCTCTTGCTTGCCCTCGTGATGGCTTCAACCGGTATTAATTTAACCAAGTTGATATTTATTATAGTTTTCATTGAAGGTGTCTTTTAATTATCTTGTACTTATGATATTAGTGAATATGTCAACCTTTAGGAATCCTCAAGAGCGAGGCTCAAACCTGCGGTGTCGGCGGATGCCCTAACCTTGTAGACCGTGTTTTCTGGGGTGAGTGCGGTCCAGCACCGTTCACAGGTACAAATGCTGACTGCTGTACCTGTTGCGTAGCCAAATTTGGGAGTCCTCCAGTCTGCTGGGCGGTTGTTGAGGGAAGCGACACCCACTGCCATTGCTACAAAAAGAAATGATGAGGTTTCTAATAACCTCATATCAAATAATTACGTACGTACTGCGGTGACTTTTGTTTTGGTTATGTGGTGTGAGCACATGACATGTGTGTATGTTTATGTTCAAGTTTCTTTTGCTTCCAAATAAAACATCATGTGAAAAGTTTAACCCTGCTTACCTCCAAGTAAACTCATGTTATGTGGACCTTTGTTTCATTCGTATACAAATCACGTTTTGTGTTTGTGTTTCTCATTTTCATTCCCGCCCACATTCAAATTTCTATCCCATTTAAGAAATTCTTTACTAATATTGGTCACATCTTGTGGTGTAAGGCATGGACAGTAATATCAGTTTTAAACACACATGTGGAGAATTACTAATCAATAGCACTAACACATTGAATAGATTCATCAATGAAATTAAGCTATTTGAGAAAAGGGAAAGGAATGGCCTTTCCATGTTGTAAAAATCATCCTTTTGCTACTCATCACACTTGAATTTTGTTCCAAAAGAGAATGTCATCAAACGTCTGTAAGAAAAATGAACCATATCTGGATTAATTATGGCCTGACTGGTTTAAACGCTGCGGTTGCGGTTGCGGGAGTTTGCGGAAGCGGGAGTTTGCGATTAAAAAAGTAATTAAGTTGTTTGTACGACTGGTATAGCAATTCATAGTGGTTGCGTTTGCGGGATATCTTTGACTGGTTAGCTAGCGGATGCAAAAGCGTTTTAACCAAAAAATACTAAAATAACATAATATATTATAATTAGGGTTCTTTGAAAAATACTCTATTTATGATTAAATATTTGAAAAATACCCTAACTTTTTTCTGTTTTGAAAAATACATTTTTGTATGTAAAAAGACTGTTTTATTTATTTTAACAAAACATTACTAAATAATTATTAATTAAAAACAAAATTCGAAAATATTATGATGAATGAAATTATTTTATTTTTTTTCAGTTATTTAAAATTTATAATTTAAAATTTGATAAATGTAGAAATTGTTTTATATAAACACCTTTAATATCACACATAAATCATAATATAAAGCCACACAAATAAGAATACAAAATGTTTTAGTAGATAATTAGGAATAAAAATGTTTATTAGTTTAAAATGAAAAACATTAAAATCAAATTATGATCTTATGTTTTTATT